AATTATTCTGGTAACCCCAGCTGCCAGTTTTTTTCCGTAAAAACTACGGGATTTTTTTTACAGTGTAGCCACGGATTCAAATAGGAATTTTGAATTGTTTTTGTTCCCGTCTATTAATCTGGAGAGATACACAGACCTAGCAGTCACTAGTGCTTGTCTGTATTTAGACAGGCTCTCTTTCCATGCAGATTTGAAAACTTCTAGTTTAGTTGAGCGCCATTTGCGCTCTAGCTTGCGTGATGCCTGTTTGAGTTCACGTGTATGATCAGAGTACCAGGGGGCAGGTTTCTTATCTCTATGCTTTATCTTCTTAAGTGGAGATACAAGATCTCAGGGATTTATCCATGTTTGCAGTCACCTGTTCAAGTTCATTTATACACAACGCTTCAGATGTAAGGCTGAAGGACTGTGGAAGTTGTTTCATAAATGTTGTTGTAGTTAGTGAGGCTTTTAAAATGTATTCACCGTGCAGTCAAGTGTTCCGTGGCTAACGGTCAAAGAGGATGGAAAAAACGTAGTGACGATTTGCTAATGATTGTGTCAAATTAAAGGGAGACTTCCAGAAATCCTTCAGCACCAAAAACCCCCATTTTTCAAAACTGAAATCTGAATGGAGTTTCCGGTAGTACTAGGTACTGTATGCTGCGTGACATTGCTAAGGTCACAAAGGCTGAAACGTGACCTCCACTCAATAAGACATGCAAGCTAAAGCATCAAGAATGGCCACAAACCCATGTCAAGACGGATGTTACAGAGGTTTGGTGGACAGATGAGATGAAAGTGACTCAATGGACGGGCCAGTGGATGGCCACCTTCTGGAGGAGTGATGGCGTGGGCTGCAGTTATCGGTGATGAACTTGCCAGACCTTTCTGACATGCAGATGGTGTAAAAATTTACCTCAAGATCTACAGCCAATTTCTATATGATACCTTCTTCCAACACTTGCACAAGAAGAAGTCAGTAGCTTTCTAAAAGGTGATATTCATGCAGGATGTTGCCCCTTCCTATGCATCAAAGTATTCCTTAGATTGCTTAAGGCTTGAGAGATGACTGAATTATAACTAGGCCCCCCTTCATTGCCTGACTCAACCTCCATTGAGAACTATTGGTCCTTACTGAAGTGTGAGGTTTACCAAGGTGGGAAGCAGTACCCTTCTTAGAGCAGTGTCTGGGATGTGGTCCTAGCTGACTCAACTGATATAGGACAGGATCAAATCAAGAACTTGACCGGTTCAATGGACCACAGGCCCCCAATGATTGTTGAGAAGAAAGATGGCTACTCAGGACACTTAGCTTGGTAAAGTGGACTGCATAGAACAGCCAATGGTTTGTTATTCCTAAATTAGACTGCATAGAACAGCCAATGGGAGGGTTCTTGTCTAACAATTCTGAACACAGTGTATATTAAATACATATTAGATAGGAGCATGAGGGCCCTTCAACCTTTGACTTAGTTGCACTGCCTCTTCCAGCATTAAGCCTGCTTTTTCAGTGCTCCATGGGGACCTTATGGGGACCTCATGTGGTCAGTATGTGGTACGGCCACAGAATAAGAGCTGCACTTGGTAACAGTCATTTTACTGGTGCTGAAACTGCAGGTTTGCTATTACTGTGATGTGAAATGAATGAGACCCACAAGCGATTCTGTGTTACTTGCATCCCTTTTATTGGCCATTCAGGGTATTATGGGAGCAAGAAGCCCCAGTCAAAACATTAGACATTCAAAAAATTCATCAGTTTTTCTTATAGAAAATTGACCCATCTTGGCCTCAAAGCGAGGGGGTTATTTTCAAATTAAGTCCACTAATCCTTGTTTTTATGAAGACTGTATTAAAATATTTTAAAATACCTAACTACTTCTGTACAAGTATTACTTGTTTTCACAATTTCTATGTTCACCCGTCTTTCTGTTCCAGGATTCCTGAAAGAGAAGAACAAACTTAGACGTCTTTGCAGACGGGCTTTTCACGGCAGGATCCCCTAATCATAACAGACGCTCCCTCGGTTACTCTGACCTGCTGGGCGTCAAAAACCTTTAGAAGAATAATTTCGTATCATATTTTATATAATCTCTATGGATTAATATGTTGAGAAATGGTGCAGGAGTCTCCAAAAACAGAAATACTGAGGCTCACTTACCAACCATTTTTAATAAGTCTGTGTTTGTGTCTGTCTGTCATGGAGAACAAGACTGGGTGGGCGAAAAGAAAATCTCCCCACTGGGATCAATGAAGTGTCATTTAATTCTTCTTCTTCTTACTATTATTATTATTATTATTATGAGAAATTTAACAGAGTTTTCACAAATATTCTGACATTCATCAATGTTGTCTTATTTGGGATTTGTTCTTAGGTAAGAACAGAATCTTTGCACACGCAAAAGCGCACTTATGCACATTTGAGTGCTGACAAGCTTGTGCAAAATAATTACTTATTGTGCTTAGTTAAATTTTTTAGTTATATATTTTTAAAATTACAATAATTAAAATCAATTATTATTATTACTATTGTTTAACAATTATTAATTAAAGTAATAGCATCCCATGCATCTTTTTTATTTTATATCGACCACTGATGCTGCTAAATATGATGCATTTGCTGTTCGCTTCCTGCTGCAGCGCCTCCACTTCAGAACCCCTGAAGTTTCCCTTAAATTTGGAGTCGGCTGCTCCAGCATCCTTAGACTTTCTATTTCGGCATCCTTGACTTCTCTCTCGCAGCTTTTTGTCTTAATTTCTGTGTGTGCACACGTCTAGAAGCATGGGGATAACTTGTCGGTAAGGGTTTACAATAGTGAGACTGCATTTATTACTACATTTTCCTTTATTAAAACTTAAAAGTACAGTGGTACCTCCATTCTCAAACTCATTAGAACTTGAATTTCTTAAAAGTCGAACCAACCAGTTCGGAAAAAAAATACCTAGAATTCGATCTGAATCTCAGAAGTCAAACCGTGAACACCGGCCTAAGATAACATGTACGCACGGGGAAATGAGTCACGCGGCACGTCTCTCAGCGGAAACAAAGGGTAACACTTCAGGCTCAGCCTCGCATTCACTGTGATATCATCGTGCATGTTTACACAAGCTGAATACATATATTTAGAAAGTAAAAATACATTTAGACAATGATAGACAGTAACAGTAATTATTATATAATAAAATACATTTAAAAATAAAGATTTCTTATTAATTATTTTAATATTTATAATAGACCATTAATACATTTAATTATAATAATATTGTCCTGCCGATAGGGGACGGAACGGAGACAAAGACGCAGACGTCAGGGTATCGGGGAATACGGGGTTTAATTACAGGTAAGGCAGGCAAAACGCAGACGGACAATACAATGAACGGACTGGGGAAACTAACTTAAATGCGGACGAAATACAGATGACTCATGACAACAACCAGAAACAGCTGATTACACGGGGATTATACACGGGGTTAACGAGGGGGCGTGGCACATGGAAGGAGGGGACAATCGGAGCAGGACACATTGGTTTTTTTTTTTTACTTTACACATTGGATACATTTATTTTCTTTACAAATTACTGTTTTGATAAATGTCCTTAGATGTGTTTAGTACGGTATATGCTGCTCTTGTTTTATCCGGTTCATTTTTTGTTTAAATGCTAAGAAAAACATATTTAGGTGTAATTTTTTTGGGCCAGGAACCAATTAATTGTTTTTCCATTATTTCTTATGGGGAAAATTCTATCAGAACCCGAACTTTTTAGTATTCGATCCGGAGTTCTGAACGGATTAAGTTCGAGTTCTGAGGTACCACTGTATTATCCCCTTCAACATCCCCATAATACACATAGGCATTTAAAATGAAAAATTGTATGCACCAGTGCTAGTGTCAAATATGATCCAGACTCAAACATTAAGGGGCGCTGCAGCACACTCAGCAGCTCTCTTCCCACACCCTTGCACATAGACCCTTTAGTCTCATGCCCTATTATGGGCATTGGTGTGGCATTTACCCATGGTAATTAGTAACAACTGGCACACGCTTTCAATTCACAAGGACAGTGGGATTCATCATAATAAGAACAAATTTGCAAATGATTCTGCATTTTAAGAACACGTCACGACTCTGATGTAGACTCTTCTTAGGACCTTCTTGAGACCTTTGTCAAGAACGAATTTAAGAAAAAACTTGATATTAGTGAATGACGACCATTGTCACTGAATACTCAATGTCCTGAACACTCAATGTCAGCCCATGAACCCAATGGCAAACAGGACATGGTCAGGGGTTGTGTCCCAAACAGCAGCCTAAACCGAATTTCCACAAGATAAAATCATGATCAGTGACTGTCAGCTAGGTGAGTACGGCTTTGTGGACAATGTACAGGAAATACGCACCTCCGCTGCCAGAGAGGCGTCATGAAGGGGGAGCCGTGCCGGCCGCAGCGAGAACCCCCGCTTTCTGGGTGGCGTCCTTCTTCGCTTGGTGAGCCTGAAGTACAGCAACAGCCTCCTCCACCTGGACAGCATGAATGTAATACAGATGTGAAAGGCACACACCTGATAATCTGCAGCAGGAATGCATGCTGACCTGGAAATCCTACGCATGCGCAAGCCGACCCCTCACATCCCGCGCACGGCATCTGCGTAAAGCCGACCCCTCACATCCCAAGCACGGCATCCGCGTAAAGCCGACCCCTCACATCCCACGCACGGCATCCGGGTAAAGCCGACCACTCACGTCCCACGCACGGCATCAGTGTAAACTTGACCCCTCACCTCCCACGCAGGGCATCCGGGTAAAGCCGACCCCTCACCTCCTACACACGGTGTACAGAAAAAGTGTTGCTTTTACCTTGGAACGTAGAGATTCATGGGACTCGAGCATATGTAGTAGCTCGGAGTTGTCAATCTCCAGAAGCATTCCAGTAATCTTCCCAGCCAGGCTGGGGTGCATCGCTTGGATCAGGGGGAACAAGCGCTCACCTAGTAGGTTAAAGAACGGGACAGAAGACACCGTTAGAAACAAACCGAAATAGAAAAATAAGTCATACTACTATCCCTTCATATGGTAGCTGCCACCTCTGATCACACCACAGCCTTCATGGTATCTGCTGTCACTCACCCAGCATCTGTTTCTGTTCCTGAGGTGGGGCTGCAGCCAGCATGGAGGCAGTTAGCGGCTCCTGGCCCTGGACGTGAACGGCGGCTTGCGGCTGAGGACAGAGGATGCGGTCAGGTTCAGTGCACTCTCTGCGAACACCACTAAAGGCTAAAAGGCCATTTTATACTCCCACGTCGAGCCTATGCCATGACCTACGCAAGTGGCCTATGCTGTTGCAAGCATTTATATTTGTGCACTGGTGTGTCTATCATTCAGTAATTACACTGCCGCTAGGTGATACATAGGTTTGGATGTTGCATTTATTGTCTTCCCTCCCTGCAATGTATTCAACTGCTGAATTATGCAACTGAAACAGAAAACAAACATTTAACAAAGTATCCATTTATCAAGTCCTGATTACATTTGCATTGCTCCAAACTTCCCATAGACAAATTTGTGGAAATGCTGAGCTGCAACAAAGTCACTTGCTATGCATTTTCCTTTCTAAAGTTAGTATCTATACTAATTCTTATTTTTTTAGTCTTGTAAAGTACGATTAAACTTAATGGAGGTAAGTGAAATTGGCGCTGTCATCCTGAATGTTTTGTACATCTGTTGCTGTGATGCCTAGGGTGGGTTATTTAAGGCTAGATATAAATAATGTTTCCATTTCAAATCAGCAGTATAAGTACATCTGGGATGTACACTGTCTTTGCTCCCATAAAAAAGGACTTGTGGTCTGCATCACCATGATGTGTAGTTATATTTCTGGGGAGGTGCACATCTGGCTACAGAGTAGGGTCCACAGCTGTATTGTACTTATGGCATCCATTCGATAAAGAAGCGTCTCAAAACTCCATTCGATAAAGAAAGTCTCAAAGCTACCGGCCCGGCTGCCCTCACCTGCTGCAGGGCCACAGGCTGCACCACCTGGTTCTGTGTGCTCCGCACGCTGGTGGCATACTTGTAGGGTGGCACTGCGCGTGGGCTGGGTATGCCCATGCTAGGCCGCGGACCCAGCGGCTGACTGCTGCCTCCTAGTGGAAAGGAAAATGAGACTCAATCAGGGTCAGTTCGCCTCTTTTCCATGATGGTGACAAATGTGAACATTACAGTGGGTAAATTGAGGAAAAAACTGTAAATGTAAGACTGTAGACTAGTGCTAAGGTGAAGTAGCTCTACCAGTCGAACAGCTTCTTCCAGGTTATTCTTTATGTCCACAGTCAAAATCCACCCCAATCTCTGTAGCTCTTTTTGCACCCTATGCCAAGCTAGTTTCCCTGCGCTTCCTACTCACCCACTCTCTGTGCCAAGCTAGTTACCCTGGCCTTCCTTCTCACCCACTCTCTGTGCCAAGCTAGTTACCCTGGCCTTCCTTCTCACCCCTCTCTGTGCCAAGCTAGTTTCCCTGCGCTTCCTACTCACCCACTCTCTGTGCCAAGCTAGTTACCCTGGCCTTCCTTCTCACCCACTCTCTGTGCCAAGCTAGTTACCCTGGCCTTCCTTCTCACCACTCTCTGTGCCAAGCTAGTTTCCCTGCGCTTCCTACTCACCCACTTTCTGTGCCAAGCTAGTTTCCTTGTGCCTCCTACTCACCCACTCTCTGCGCCCCAGCTGGCATACCCCGAGGGCTCTGTGAATTAGTGCTTGGTGTGAGGTGCCGCAGGTTGGCACGTGGACCAGCCTGACGCAGTGAATTAGGGATACCCTGAAATCCACCTGGGAAATACAGACACACAGATCAGCACCTTTTCAGCATTCTGGGCATCTGCAAGCATCCTTAGAATGAAGGTCGGCCCTCTCACCTTGGGCTCGACCTCCTTGCTGCTGCCAGCGGGGGTTAGGTCGCATCTGTGCCAGCTGATTAGGGGCATAGTAAGTTGTCCTGTTTTGTGCCTGTAAGGGATTTATAGGAGGGAACATTCTCTTTTAAAGACACTTGTTAATAGAAGACATAAAATGACTGAACCATGACTGAAGTTTAACTCACCTGTGGAACAGCAGGCATGAAGTAGCCAGTGGCCGGCTGAAACTGGTTGATGATGGCATTAGCGGGCATTGCCCGCATGCCTGCAATGCGCTGCATGTATTGGTTAGTGAGGTGGGCCTTGCGTTCCTCTTTGCGCTGTGCCAGAGCCACATACAATGGCTTGGATCCCACGATGCGCCCATTCATCTCTGTCACAGCCTTTGTGGCTTCCTCAGGAGATGAGAAGCACACAAACCCAAACCCCTTGGACCGGCCATCTTCCAGCATCACCTAGGGTGAGGCAGCTTGTGAGACAAGGAGCAGCTGACCAAAATCTCATCTCTGTCTGGGCTACTCTCCCCTGCTTTCTGAAGCCACCAACTCAGACACATGCCTGCAGGTCAAAGAGTTCACCTCACCTTAGCACTAGTGATGGATCCAAATGGGGAAAACTCTTTGCGCAGTTTCTCATCATCAATAGTGTCATCTAGGTTCTTGATGTAAAGGTTGACACCCTAAACGCAGAACGAGATCATTGTTAGACATCTGTGAAAACACACGCTAATCACACTCTTACCAGGCAATTGTGACGTTAGAAGATGAAACCCATCTTGGGTAATATATGCCTTTTAAATGTATGTTAAAATGTTAATGTTTAGTGTGATACCTGATAGCGACTGAGCCTCTCCTGTTTTAGTTGTTCAAATTTCCTCTTCAGTTCCGCCTGCCGTTCCATCTTCTTCTGGGCACGGCCCACAAACACAGTCTTGCCATTGAGTTCTGTGCCGTTCATCTCCTCCACAGCCTGCGCCCTCATTGAAGACACCCAACCATCTGGGTCAAGTTGTGGAGCCCTGTTTCTGCCACCTAAGTCACCATCTTTGCATAACTAAGCCCAGTTACCACCCAGCTGCTTACACACATTTCCTATCTGAAATAATACCATCAAAGCCAAACAACCAGCAGATTTATTGACTATGGGTCTGGATTAAGAGTCAGATTTGAAGCTGTGTTGTTCGGTACCAATGCCTTCGTCTCCTTAGCCCACAATCCTCCTTCAGTGGGTACAGTACAGCTAATGTACCTGGTTAGCATCTTCATGCTTCTCATAGCTTACAAAGCCAAAGCCTCTCGATTTTCCCATCGGATCGGTCATCACTTTCACACTGAGTGTTTTTCCTGGCAAAAGTACAAGTGGAAGGTTAACAAGGGCATGGAGCAGTGGCCTTTGCTTGGCCTTTCTCGTGCTGGGCAAAGTGAATCGTGTGCCATGCTACTTCAGCTGATAGCCATACCACGTTTTAGTGCATTCATGAACATATTATTGCGGTATGGGAATTATTCTGAACCGGTCTCTGCACTAGCTTCTCCCCCAGGACTTACCATACTTGTCAAACAACTCCTTCAGCCTGTTGTCATCCATATCCTCCCCAAAGTTTTTTATGTATACATTGGTAAATTCCTTGGCTTTGGCTCCTAGCTCTGCCTCCCTCTCCTTTCGAGATTTGAAACGTCCCACAAACCTGGAAATTGGAAAAACGATCCAACATAACAGTCCAGCTCAACAGAATCAATTTCAAAGACTATTTCTACTTTTTTAAAGAAATAGTTTTAAAAGAAGTTTAAAAGAAAAAAATCAGGATAAACCGTCAGGGCAGCTGCGGCATTGCAGCGGTAGTGACTTCAGTCTTAAGCAGGACTAAGTGAAGTCAATTCACGTTCACGCAAGAAAGGACTGGAAAGGTGGCTGAACATAAGCATCACAGCAGCACAAACGATGCACATTCTGGCAAACGGAATGTCAAGGTCACATGCTGCTACATACAGACCAACAACGCAGCCCACAGAAAAATCCTCCTCTGATGCTTGGGGTGATGAGACAGGGAGACATAAAGATCTGATATTAGGACCACAGTAAGGTCCTCTAGAGAGACTCACTGGGGTCAGACTGTACCTGTGCTGGGGTCAGACTGTACCTGCTATGCAGGCCTTTCCCATTCCGTAACTCCAGCATTGCATTTCTGCACTCCATCCATCACTAAAACACACAACTGGGATTACACAGACAGACAGACAGACAGAAGGGCAGCTTGAGGATTGCTGAGGGACACCTCAACAAGCAGGACCTTCTGCTGCCTCCATACAATATGTAAAACCATGCAGTGCAAATGAGACAATGGCATAACCGTGTAAACACCATGCTCAGTACCACACACTCATCATTGAGGCTCACAGACTTGCATGCACTGGCTGTTCTCCATTTGCAATTGTTTTTGACATTATTGATTGGGAGATAGAAGGAATGATCCATATCATAAGTACATAAGTGCAGGCCTCGAGCCCGCCAGTACTCAGCTGATCATCGTAAGTGCAGGCCTCGAGCCCCCCGGTACTCAGCTGATCATCGTAAGTGCAGGCCTCGAGCCCCCCGGTACTCAGCTGATCACCGTAAGTGTAGGCTTAGAGCCGCCCGGTACTCAGCTGATCCTCGTAAGTGTAGGCTTAGAGCCGCCCGGTACTCAGCTGATCCTCGTAAGTGTAGGCGTAGAGCCGCCCGGTACTCAGCTGCAGGACACTCACACCTTGCGGTCGTTGAGCAGCATGCCGTTCATCTTCTCAATGGCGCGGTCAGCTGCATCCTGTGTCTCAAAATGCACGAATGCATATCCTTTTGATCCATTCTCATCACACACGACCTTTTAGGAAAAAACAGATCTGTTGGCTAATAGGTCCTGTTCTGTGTTCGAGAACAAGCACACCTAAATAGGGGTAAAAGATCAAACATACCACCACTAAGGGACAAGAGAGGACCTCAACCTACCCTCTGTCATCATCTCATCACTATTCCAGTCTTCCAGTAAAAACCTGATTATGACATCATGTCTCAAACACAGCACTAATATGTTGTTCTAATATTACCCAATTTCTGGCACTGAGCCGTCTGGGAACACAAGGTGAGGTAAGCAGACAGCCTGACCACTGATGTGGCCTCTGCCTGTCACTGAAGGCACATACAGCTGCAGACCTCAGTATAACACCACAGAGATGATGGTGCTCCACTTGCGGTCGTTAGGTACCTCCACTTTCACTCCCAGAATCACCATTTTCAGAGTGGTCATCCCAGACATTTTTCGGCAGTATCATTAACTGATACGCCCTCATATGCTAAACTTATAGTTGTCTAATGCCTCATATTGGACTGATGTAGATATTGTGAAGGTCCAGTAAAGGTACTCAAATGGCGGACCACATTCAAACCGAAATACAATGTGGTCTGGACCGTGGGACCACCTTGGTTGGTGAAATTTACTGAAAGGAATACCCCTAAGAACTCTATGTGGCTGATGGAATCTGGACCTCAGGGGGAAAATAATTAAGTCGCCTTTCTACTGCCTACTCTCCAATCCACACTAGCAGAAGTGCACCCCAACTCAGTGACGTACCTTGCAAGAAAGGATGTTCCCAAAGGCAGAAAATGTGTCATAAAGCGCCTTGTTGTCAATTGACTTGTCCAGGTTTTTGATGAAGACGTTTCCCACCCCAGATTTCCTGAGTGAAGGGTCTCTTTGAGACCACATGATTCGAATGGGTTTCCCTTTCACCACATCGAAGTTCATGGTGTCCAGGGCTCGTTCAGCTATGGGGGGGCACAGTCAATGTAGTGGTAGGAAAGGCACATGTCACTCAACTGCACAAATAGGAAACATCGGCAAATATGTCATCATGCACATGCAGAGCAACCCCATCCGAGCCAACCAACCAAAACCATGTCATCCTAACCTAATCCTAAAAGAATTCCCCTCTGGGATCAATAAAGTAAATCTTAATCTATCTTAATCTTGATCTTGCTAAGTGCTTGTGGGAGTTTTACTTACACAAAATGCTCTGAGGGCAGAACGAAATTTGGTTGGTTTGGAGAGATAACCAATCAGATTGTAGGGTAGGTGTGTCCAAGCAACTAGAGGAGCCAGGGCCCAGACATTTGACTAGTTGGTCCCACCTCCAATCTGATTGGTTATCTCTCTGAACTAATCATTTTTCATTCTGGCCTCATAGCATTATTGTGTAAGTAAAACTCCCATAAGCTTAAGATGGTTGCTCAAGTTTAATGTCCATTTGCAACCATTTCATGTCTTCTAACACCTGTTTTCAGGTGTCCATAACAGTAATGTTGTACAGCAGCTGCAGTTTCAGCCTATCCAAAGTCCTCACAAAGAAATGTATCATTGCCACCTGCTTTGAATATGAGCTCCGACAAGAGCTATTTTGGAAAACATAAGACAACAGCTGTTTGTTAAAAGCAACAAACACGGCGGTAGTATGAAGTACAATTTCCATGAATTTTAAGGCAGAATAGCTGCATTTGTTTCTAAAGTTCAGCTTTAGCAAACTATGATTCTTCTTTCAAAGTATTTTTTTTTCCTTTACAAGGCTCACGCAATATTCTCTGCTTAGAATTCTCCATATGAAACTCTCCTATGGAGGGCATGTTATCTGGACTGTCTGCTGTACACATGCCTGCAGCAACACGCCCTGCGACTGTGGCTCAGCACAGACTACAGGTGCTGCAGCTAAACAAGGCTAATACACAGAAGCCACTGCCCAGTGTGTGCTGACATCAGCAGAGTCCACAGCGATTGTGCTTCACATCCAGCTGGCAGTAGGTGCAGTAATCCTGGATTCTTTTCCAGAACGTTCTGAAGGGAATTGTAGGAGAGCACATTTTGAGAATGTGACATTGTTGAAAGGAATAAAAAAAGTTACATTGACCTTGTGCTCCAGAAATTAAAGGCTTATGAGTAAAAATGCAGAAGACAAATCATTTGTTTGCTCGACAGTAACCATCACTGGTGGCTGTTCTGCTGTCTGAGAAAACAGCTAAAACAATGGGTCTTGTTTTATGAGAAGTGCAGTTCGCCAAAGAGTTCCTGCTACATTTCAGCCTTGTTCCCCTCTGAAACCTCAAGCTGACAGCATAAATGAACTGTTTTTCACATTCAGGCATGGCCAGGCCCAACATTAAACTGCAACTATATTTAGCCAATGAAGACACTCATAGCTATGTGCTGCCGTGGGCAGTGGCTTGAGTTTTCTCTTCCGTTCATGGGGGTTGGGGGCAGCTGTTGCAGGCCTTAGTCCAACATGGCCGGGGCTGCTAGAGCCAGACCCTTCAGATTATATCTAAACGTAACCAAATAGCCTTCTGTATAGTAATTCTTCATTCAAAACACCCGTGTTCCAAGTCTTATGACCAAACTTTATGTCTTTGTGATCCAGTGAAAGGAGGGTCATTAAGGCAGGCCAACAAGGGAAAAAGAAAATGAAGCGCAGCTTTAGATCACAACGTTCAGTAACGCTTTACATTAACTGCACCCTCATAATGCCTTTATAATGCATTCGTAGAGCATTCAGTGTACCTTCATAATGTATTTGTATATCAACATACTAACATACCTTAATGAGGTATGTTAGTATGTTGATATACTTACATGTTGCTTATGAATGTTTTACGAACATACTCATAAGCAGCATGTAAATATACGAGAAAATCAAAACATATCTTAACAGTTTTAATATACATTAATAACGAACATTATATGATAATGACAAACTTTATAATCGTATAATGATTGTCATTAATGTATACTGTTGAGGTATGTTAGGATAAGGTATACTTAAATGCTGCCTATGAATGCATTATGAAGGTGCACTGGATGTTCTATGAATGCATAATGAATGCATTATGAGGGTGCAGTTAATGTAAAGCGTTACCCAAGGTTCACACATGTTAGCGACGCCATTCTGAGATACTGCTTTGAGCTGGGAGTGTAGCACAGCAAATCAGGAGCATGGCAGGGCACACATGCAGGTGTGGTGTAACAGAACCATCAGCCAATCACAGGCCAGCATGCTCGTGGGCCGATAAAGGACACAGGGTGAAGCAGTCATGGCTGTTGCTGAGCCCAGTCACTTGCAGGCAGCTTGGAGCTGGGAAGGCCGGGGAAGAAAGCTGAACTAAAAGTGTCCTCGCAGGCCGTCCTTTAAATAGGCACAGAAATAGGTCACTTTGGGTTACCAGTCAGATATGTGGAACAGAGCCCATTACAAGCGTGTGTGTGTCTGCAGATCGGCTCCAGAGAGGCGTTGAGGGTCACTGAACATGGGACCGATTAATGTGCAAGTTTTGACTTGTCAGATTGTGCCATAGAACCGACAGGGCCAACTTAAATTACACATGGGGCAGGACTGATTCAGCCTTTTTCATTCAGTATAAAAACTATACTAAAATGTATGCACTTGGGTTGGACAGGATGCAATTTTTTTAAAATTGCTGAACTGATGTAATGAGATTTGCTTCTGGGTGAAAGAGACTAAGTATAAAAAAACAGACCCAGACCAGGTGTTCAACAAGAAAACTGGGCAAAAAATGTTGCAATTTTAAACGTGTGCCATCACTGTAGGAATGCAAAAGCCTAGCTGAATACGGCTTACCTTAAATCTCTGCCTGTATTTAATGCTATAACTTCTATAAGGGACTGAAAGACGTTTTAACATGCTAGGATGTGCTCAAATGACAACTTGCTGCAAAATAAAAACACGTCGCCTATTTCTGCACGATGCTCACATTCCGGGACCGTTTACTTTATCCTTGACAAACGTGACGTGAAGCTTTGTGACGTGCCTGTGACCCCCACTCCCTACCTGTCCGGCTGCGATCGGTCACCGCCTGCGACACGCGTGCTGCACGTTTGGGGAGAAGGAAACCGGGAGTGCGAGCCAAACAGCGAAGCAGGCACACGGGCGCGGTTCGGTTCGGACGGGCTCGCCTCTGCGCCGCTTACCGTCTGCGGGCTGCTGGAAGTTCACATAGGCGTAACCCAGCGATCGCCGGGTGATCATGTCGCGACACACTCGGATGGACAGCACCGGTCCCGCAGGGCTGAATTTCTCGTACAGCATAGCCTCCGTGATGTCGGGGTGCAGGTCGCCCACATACAGGGAAGCCATGGGGTAACTGCCTGCTGCGGCTGTATTCATAACTCGCAAGGGACGGCGGACCGCGCAGCTTACAGCCGAGCGCCGGGTGCCTCTGTGCAATCCGGGGTAAAACCGTCTGCCGAGTCAGGTCGCAGCTCCGAAACTGGGATGCTGCGTCGCCTCGCAGGTCCTCGGCTTTCCTTCTCTTTTAAATATTTGTTATTATCCGTCATAAAACGTCAGGCTTGCGGTGCCCGAGGCCTTCTGTTGTCTTTAAGAAAGAAAAGAATATATATTTGAGAGCTTTGTTTTTTTTTCTGCTCAGTGTTCCAGTACTTAATTTTTATGTTGGTTTTGTGTTTTTTTATGTTTTTTTTTTTTCCTTTTTAAGTTATAAAAGAGCGGTGAGTGAAGCACTCACGTTTGTTTGTGGCCGGGAAAAGAGACTGCGTGGGACACGCGTGGGGACTTTATACCCGGCCGGAGGAAATAGTAACTCGGGTCAAACTCGGGATAAAAAAAGCAGGAGCGTGCGGCGGAAAGGGAAGGGCGTCGCAGCGACATCTGGGTGTGGTTACAGACATCGACTGCAAAGGAGAGCTTAGTTCGCATTATTACGAGGAACTAATCAGTGCCATATTTGGTATACGAATTTTATTTAATTAAAAATATATTTTAAATGCTGCTTTTAAAAACTTCTACGTTTGTTAAATTATTATAATTAATATAAAAAATAAAAATTGCGTTTGTGAATGTAGTTAATTGATCACATCTTGGCCATTACCAGGTGCATGTCAACCCAGTATCTGTAAGTAAAGTTGGCGACATATGATGGTGAATGACACGTACTTTTAACGCAACGTTTACAAATTCCCGGATGAAGTCTTCCTGAACAGTTACCCGTAGCTTTTATAAGTATCCACAAATAAGCTGAAAACTGTCACACTGTATGTCTCTTTGGATCCAGTAGTCAGAGCGTTCGTAATATTAATATTAATGTTATAACCATGACATTTGGATTTGGAACTCTTCTGCACTCGGATAAACTATGCGAAGACTTACAGTATATCCCATAGTGCAGTGCATCCTACATGCATGGTGGCCTCTGTGCGTGCATGCGTACTTTGTGTGTAGGTATATATGCAGTATGCATGCAGTGTCTGCGTATCGGCTACTTGTACCCCTACTGCAGTAGACGTATGGGTGGCAGAGACATCACGAGTGTACATGATTGTCTCCAAGAAAGCGGAGGTTCGAACTGATTATTTACTTGGATCCCAGACACTTATTTCATCCAGGTATAGTATACCCCCTTGTATTCAAACTTTTATCCGCCTGGGATATAGCGCCCTCTCCTGACGGTATTGCTCCCCACTTCAGAGAGCAGTTGAAGGCTTTCCATTCCAGCGCGTCTGTATATGTCATAACACTATCCGTGCTCTTTTCCATGCATATCTTAGCTTAGCACAGCAGACGAGGTACAGTCATGTGCTCTGCCCACTCTGGTGTAGCCTATGTACTCAATTTCCTGTAACAGATTTCTAATACGTCTTATTTAAGTGTATCTCTTACCTTTGGCGCTGACTTATGTCACAATAGAATTGTTTCGTAGACTGTTTCCTGTTTAAGCCCTTCCCAGATAAAACTGTATTTTGTCATTTTAATATGTTTTAATTGATTTACACGAAAGCCCAGTAGAAATTATTCATATAATTATCGAAATGTTTTTTTCTGTTAATGACCGGACCATTTTGGGAAACCACCATGTATCTTGCCAGTCCCTGCCGTCGAGAGCGGCCTGTCCCGCGGTGTCATACCCTCTCTTCCCTCTCTCCCAGGTCGCGTTTGTATACATTTCATACGCTCCCTCTTATGTTAGTGACCATAATTCTACCTTACAACGTTTTTTAAGCATTAACAATGGAAGATAATAATTTTTAGTCTTTAATAAATTCAACGTTTTTGTTTTCCTTTTGTTTACCTTTTGTTTACGAGTTGTGAGATTTACCAAAAGAAGACGTGAATTGTTTACCTTTTGTTTACGAGTTGTGAGATTTACCAAAAGAAGACGTTTAAAGAAGTTTATTTTAAGATTAAACGGATACGATAGAAAATATCAACAATCCTTATGCTATGGAGTCACCGCAAAGATTGGTCGTTTCCATGCAGGGTTTAAAAGACATTGGCGGGTCCAAAGGCGGGCCACGCTAAAAAGGGACACTGGTGCTTTAAATGGCTCCCGGCCCCCGGGCGCTCGGCTGAACACCCACGTCAGCACAGCTCCTTTTGTCCAACAACCGGGTTTCGGTCTTTAGGGCTGAGCAGGAACTGAGCGAATGTGTACCCTGTGCAGCCGAGCAGGAAGCACCTAGACCCAAAAAGCGACGTAAAAATGGAAACGCTATCCGAAATTAGAGCAAAGGGATCTTCGGGGACACCCGGCGATCCAGGGCACCAGTAAGTATTGATAGCTATTGAGACTGTTGGGGGGTGAGGATCTGCGGCAGGGCGGAGGGTGTCATTGCAGCCTGCAGGGCGTCAGCGGGTCCGGCGGATGTCAGGAATGCGCACCCCTCCCCCCGACGAAGCATGGTACCCGAGAGGTATCGTTGGGCGCCAAATGCGGGCGTACGTTTGACTGAGCCCTTGCATCTTAAAGGGGGTAAATCTTGCAGCTTCCAGTGCATGCTTGACTGGTTTCTGGCATACTTGTGTTTTTTTTTTTTTTTATTTTAACACCGTGGAAGCTACCCAAGTGGGCGTATCTGTAAGATCCACAGGGCTGCACTGGAACTCACGCCGCCAGCTCGTGGGTGCCCATGCCTTCGGCGCTGCTTCCTCTGACAATTAAGGGCGTGACAGCCACATTGCAATAAAGGACAAATATGCATGGGTTGCTTTGATCTGTAATTTGCTACCCGTGAGTATAAGTTCTGCATGATAAACCAACCTGAAACGTCTGTTTAATTCATTACCTGATCTTAGGAAACGGGCGTGTATTGCCCACCTGCTTGTGATGCAGCCTGGGTCGCCCGCGTACGTTTTCCGTCGTGCGATTTTCCTCTGTGTCCCTCGTTGCCCGATCCGCAGAGTCGGGTGTCGCTTCTCTCAGTGTACACACGGGATTAACTGACAGATCGCCCAGCCAATCATGGCGCAGAGCATTTACGGGGCGGGGTCTCCGAGAAACACTTTTTATTGTCCTACACAAAAGATTAGAAACGGAACAAAGAGGATTCATGGACACAACGAAGACGTCCCACAGACAGAAGCAACTGTCCACGAGCTACATAGTGACCATAATGTAGGATATTATAGCATTTTTAATAGTAATAACTGCAAAATAACAGAAGACAGTTGGTGACACTGTATTAATGAAGCCCAACCCTTTCTGAAAAATATGAAACTGTTAATGCTATAGAATTCAATTTCTGCCATATCACTTATCTGTTTTTATATGCCTAATAATATCAAGAGAGGTACTCTTATTTAATTATATGTTTTATCTCTTGACAATCAACATCCGCACAGAACTCACTCCCTTCTCTGGCCCTTCCAGTTTCACACTGCCACGCATGCTATGACATCTAATTCTCACAAAGGATGTTATTCACATTAGTGGTGGTTAGTACTGTTGCTTCACCCCATTGGGACCAGGGCTCGAGTCTCCGCCGTGGCTTCCCATGTCGTCATGGGGTTTCCTCTAGGTACTCCACTGGGAAAACATGCAGAGGTTCATTACAGTTGCCAAACTGCCCGTGTGTGTGTCAGTAAATAGTGTGTGAGTATATGCCCTGTTATGGGTTGGTGTCCCGTCTTGGGTTATTCCCTGCCTTGAATCCATAACTACTGGGATAGGCTCTGGATCTCTGCATCCCTGAAAAGGACAAGTGGTTACAGAAAATGGATGGATTAATAGGATTATAAAGCAATCAACATGTGTTAAAAATGACCATATGTATGTAAGCAGTCTAAAAGAAAGCCCAAAGCAGAAACACACTGCTACTGATGCCCCTTCATCTCCATCCACCCAGACAGTCGACGCGAACATCTGGTGCAGATATGATGGCTGAGCACCAGAGCCGCCTACTGCAGCAGCTGGATGAGCAGCGGAGACAGGAACTCTTCTGTGATTGCCATGTGTTGGTGGAGGGACAACTGTTCAAGGCGCACCGCAACGTGCTGTTTGGCTGCAGTGGCTATTTCCGCATGCTGTTGGCGCGGGGTGGAGCAGAGTGTGGCAGGCCTGTCTCTGCCACATTTGAGGCCTTCAGTGCCGACACCTTCTCTGTCATTCTGGATTTTGTCTACTCAGGTCGTCTGGACCTCACCAGTGTCAATGTCATTGAGGTGATGTCAGCCGCCAGCTACTTGCAGATGAATGATGTCATTGGGTTTTGCAAGGGCTTCATCAGGTCTTCTCTGGATATTAGCGCCAAAGAGACTGCAGATCAGTGCCTCAGCCTACCAGAGGAGAGCAGCACCCCCCAGGGGGTAGATAACGCCCCCATTGCCCAGGTGGAGTTATGTGCTGAGCCCAAGTCGGAGGTCTCAAGCCAGGGCGCGCCTCCCCCACGAGGAAGGCGGAGGGCTCCACCTTCCCAGCCCATCAAAGTTGAGCAGATGACAGAATCCACAGCATACCGTGCTGCCAGAGGATCGGGTAGGCGGCGAACTTGGAGCAGCCTACCTGTGGAGGAGACCACATCCATAGCAGACCAACAGGGGGCGCCCTCCAGCAAAGCACAGAAGGCCGATGAGCTCTACGCCACTTTACCCACAATTGTTGGAGTTGTTGGCGTTTTCAACAAAGGTGACCAAAGTCATGATGCACAATAAGGTGGTGAAGAGTGGGTGGTACAGGTTAATTAAGAAGTGGGGATTATCATATCTCCATCACATTACTGGTGCAATGGTTAATCAGGCACTGGGTGTGGGGATTATCATATCTCCATCACATTACTGGTGTAATGGTAAATTTAGGCACTGGGTGTGGGGATTGTCACATCCCCATCACATTACTGGTGTAATGGTTAATTAGGCACTGGGTCTGGGGATTTTCACATTACTGGTGTAATGGTAGAGTGGATGCTGAATCAGGGTTAGAGGTCCACTGGATACGTGCCCTGTCTTGAGTTTTCAGTCTCTCTGCCCAGACTCCAGCCCTTCAATGCGCTTCAAGTGTCCCTTCTGCACGCACACGGTGAAGCGGAAGGCAGATCTGAAGCGGCACCTTCGCTGCCACACGGGTGAGCGGCCATATCCTTGTGAGGCCTGCAGCAAGCGCTTCACCCGCCTGGAGCACCTGCGAAGCCACTTTGAGACGGTGAGAGCTGCCACTGGGCTGCCCTCTGCTGCTCTGAACCAGTGGCAGGGGTGATGCCGTGTGTGAATGTCACTGGGTGTCAGCTTAAGTGTTTAAGCCTCTATGTGAAAGTGTGTGTGTTTAAATGATATGCCCATGCTCTTTGTCTAATTTCTGGCAGATCCACCAGGCTAGGAAGCTGGTGTGCCGGAAATGCAAACGTCACGTGACAGAGCTGAGTGGACGCGTTGTGTGTGAGGGCACACGCCGCTACAGGCTCTGTAATGAGTGCATCCAGGAGAGTGGCTGTGAAGGCCTCCTGATTGACACAGCCAGTAGTGAGTCAGCACTTCTCATGGGCATGGGTGAGGAAGATGAGGATGACAAGGAGAAAGACTGGCTGATGACGGACGAGGATGACCTGGCGGTGGATTCTGGGACTGACCTCATCATTCAGGAAGTAGATGACAGTGAAGAGGAGCAGGAGCTTCACAATTAAACACAAACATTCTTTACCTACAGCGCCCCCTGTAGGGGTACAAATGCCATAAATTAACTGCAAAGTGTAAACATGTTAATCAATGAATTGAAAATCCTTTTTTTTTGGTTTCCAAATGAGTTTGTAACTGTTTTACTTGTATACAGTTTTAAAGCTTTTGAATTTATTCGATTATAAGTCACATAATTAATCAGTCAAATAGATGCTCTTCCAGCACTTGGCCATCTGGGGCCGCTTTGCATTTTAGGTGATCACCTAACCTGAAAGACCTGCATAGTTCCGCATAAAGACAGCAGGAAAAGGTACAGAAAACTGTCTGTACATCAGTCTGACAGGAAGCATTCAACACTGATTTTATTTATTACAGTACAGAAAAGGAGGTGTAGAAGATTGCTGGATGGTTCTAATAGGATCTGCTTTTATTTATTACAGTACAGAAAAGGAGGTGTGGAAGATTGCTGGATGGTTCTATATACTGTAGGATCTGCTTTTATTTATTGCAGTACAGAAAAGGAGGTGTGGAAGATTGCTGGATGGTTCTATATACTGTAGGATCTGCTTTTATTTATTTTACTATGTCATGCTATGTTTTATTAATGGACTTTATACGTGGCCCAATTAATTTTTGATTGTATGTAAATATTAGCATTTCTTCTTTGGGGTATTAATGTTATTATTATTGTTATTCATATTTAACTTTTTGTATTCATTTTCTACACATTAAATATATTTTTATACACATTATTTCATGGTTTAGTAGTGTAAAGTTAACAGTTATATGAAACCTAAAATGCATTTTGCATATGAAGTACAGAGCGGGATCATAACGCGGGAGAATTGACACCAGTGTAAAGACGCACACCCAGGTGTTCAGTTGTCATCGCACCAGCACCCAATTCATTTTTCACAGTTCAGTTCTGGAGCAGCCTTTGCAGAGATGAAATGTATTAGTAAAATGGACTCCTTGGGGGTCATTACAGCGACATGCTTAAGGTTTTAGGAGCCTCCAGTATCTTCATGTTTTCCTTCCCCACACAGGCTGGAATGAGAAGCTGTCTGAAGTAGCTGCTTTTCCAGGGGGGGGGGGGGGAGGGGGGCATGTATCCACCACCTTTACAATGAACCGTGCGCCATGCCAAACCCGGAGCAAATCACAGGGATTGTGTTCTTCCAAGGGGATGTGCAAGAGCACAAAGACACTAAAGACAAAGGGTGGATTCCATGGAAAACCCTTCAAGCAAGTCTAGGTACTATACAGAAGATTTTCTTTTTCAATATTTACAGAACATCAACCTCCCACAGAATGATCACATAAAGCATTGATAATTTCATTTAATCTTATATTAAATCAATGATTTAATCAACCGATTACAAATCTTACAACTGCTGATCAAATTTTAATTCAGAAAACTACACCTTGCTAAAATCTGGCATTCTTGTGCTTACAAAAATGTTTGTGACAGTGTGGTATCCCGTCTTGGGCAATTCCCTACCTTCTGCCTATATTTTCTGGGATTGGCTCCAGATTCATGTGACCTTGCGTAGGACAAGAGGGTAGAGAACATGGATGGATGGATTGGAACTATAATAGTTAGTTACTAGTTAATTAATGGATTAAGTAAAAGTGTACTACTACATCATTTGTGTCCCAAGTAGTGTTACAATGGTTTGTTTTTAGATTTATATAAAGCCCATTTCTAGCAAATTTGGGATATTGTCTAAAATGCAATAAAAGCAAAAATATGTGGTTTGTTAATTCACGTGAACCTTTAACTGACAAAAGTACAAAGAAAAGATTTTCAAGTTTCACTGATCAAATTAATTGAAACTTAAAAAAAAACAAAAAAAACTAATCTTATCTTTGAACATGGAGGCAATACGCGATGCTGCAATCATCACGGACTAAGCAGTGCGCGTGTAGTCCCGGTATGAGATTCGTTTTTTCCAGCCGGGGTGATCCCGCAAAATGCAGGACTGATGGCAACCCTATTTTCAACAGGAGCTGACTTAATTGAGGCATTAGGAGGCAGAAGACGTCAGTTTGAAGAGAGCCTCCATCAGAACAACATCAATTCTACTAAAATTGAAGCAAGAACTAACATCAAATTCACGGAGACGCTTGTGTAGAAGAACGGTGAGATCGTTGATATTTTGGGAACAGTTTATGAGGATAATGCCCCCAGACATCCAACTTACAATCTAGATTTACGTCCTTCTGACTTATTTTTGTCTACAATGGGCTCCATGTTTCTTCATGTTGAACATCCACTTGTGAATGTGGATCCCACTACTGTCAGTTTTTTTATCACCGTTTACCCTCCAAATTGTAAACAACTGACATTCCTGAATTGGTACGTTCCCGAAGCGTGATTGGTTGTGAAACTCTGTGCTCAGCGTGTCTATTGGTTGACGGTAGCTTGCTGCCACTTCCGGTTTGCGGCTGAAGAAGATGGCGGCGTTGATGATGCGCGGGTCCCTGAGTGTTCGTTGCAGCCCGAGTTTCGGTGCGCGATCGTGGGCTTTTGCCAATTCAGCCTCAGCGCAGAGTGTGAGTGCCCATGGGGTACACATCCGAGCCGCTGATGCCCGGTCAATGTCTTCCTTTCCGAAGGCCACATCTTCCCAGGTGGTTTTAGTTATTCTGTCATAAAATATAAACGCAACTTAAAACTGAAATAGAACGACAGTGAAACGGAGGTTAAGTGGCGATTTTGTCAGTTATTTGTGTTGGACCATACGTCCTCGAATTTGTGAATGAAATAAAACATAGTTACAGCACCAGTCCTACCCGATGTGGCAACCTAAGGGAGCATCACCGAGGCTTACAAGTCGGCGCACTAGGTGGCCGTCTATGGGATTGACCGCCCCTGCATAATTAAGTAGAAATTCACAGTAAAATCAGACCTTGTGTTACTCGGCTCTGTGTCGGGGACCTGTCCGTCTCCTACTTTGTTTCTCACCAGCTTCACAGTGCTGCAGGGAGCTTTCATCAGCCTGCACTGCATATTAGTGATGTTGAAGTATATGTTGAGCTGGGTTTTATTTTCCAGCTGGTTTTGAGAACATCAGCACATTAATATCTAGAACACCTGCATGTCCTGTGACCACTGGGGTCAGGAGCAGGGATGACTCAGCATTGTCAAATATAAAATCTTTTGCTGTATGGAAATATTTTGGATTCCAGAGAGAGAAAATTGAGCAAAAGCACTTAATTTGTCAGCATTGCTTTGCGTATGTTGGCACAACTTGTGGTAATAATTGTAACAGAATCTGCAAATGCTGCTGCTATTCATTAAAAATCAAATTGAAGTTGTGGTTGTCATTAAAAATGTTCTTAATTTATGTTCTATGAAATTAGTTTTTAATAAAATTTCAAAAGACTTTTGCAGCAATGAGTGATGACTCGTTTTGTATTCCAATAAATGTGTAATTTTCATCCATACTCCATGCATGCTTCTCCGTGTGTATGCTCTGGGTGCTGTGGCGGTGGGATTAATCTAATATAATTCAAATAATGAATGGCCAAATCTGATTAGTCATTCTGTCCAAAATGCCCATCCCTAGTTAGCAGGAAACCTGACCCAATTTTCTGTGTCTCTGTCTGTCCCCTGCAGGTGTCAGTGCCAACTGGGAAGTCTCTACCTGAACAAGTTAAGATTGTTGAGGTTGGGCCTAGAGATGGCCTGCAGAATGAGAAGGTGAGAGGTGAAGTGTAACCTATAGCTCTACTCTCCACGGGGCTCCGCTAATGCTAGGGTTGGGTATCTTCATTGATATGGCATTGTGGGCTGGCGGGTCCCTTGTGCTCCATGGCTGTGGGTGGCAGGTCCCTCGCACCCGGTGACCTGGGCAGGCAGGGCCCTCATGCTGCTCCTGGGTTTGTCTCTTACAGACTGTAGTTCCTACTGAGGTGAAAATCGAGCTCATCAACATGCTGTCAGAAGCTGGACTTCCTGTCATCGAAGCCACAAGTTTTGTCTCCCCAAAATGGGTCCCGCAGGTGGGTACTACTAGGGCAGGGGTGGCTAATCTTATCCGCAAAGGGCTGGTGTGTATGCAGGTTTTCGCTGCAACGCCCTAATTAGATAACTAATTAGAGGACTGATTGGCTGAGGAGTCCTCACACCTGGGTTTGAACAGCTGACCTAAAGATTATCCCAAAAACCTGCATAGACACCGACCCTTTGCGGATAAGATTGGCCACCGCTGTACTAGGGGCATTTTATTCCCTCATCGACTGTGTTGTTGCTGGGCTGGTCCTAAGTAATCACAATCAGTTTTATTGCCCACCCTTCATCATTGAATGTTAGTGTTTATCCTAAATTCAGCCAGTGGCCCTGTTGTTATTTATGTGTCACAGATGGCAGACCAGGAAGAGGTGATGCGAGGAATCCAAAGACGACTGGGAGTTCGCTACCCTGTGCTCACTCCTAACCTGAAGGGATTCCAGGCAGCAGTGAGTCCCCTGTCTTAGCCTCTGCCTGTTCCAAGACAGCCTTTATTAGCCTCCCTAATCACAGGCAGTTCTGTGGTGTGAATCACTTGTGCACCTGGCTGTTCATAGCCACAGTGCCTTTTCCCTTGTAATGCCTTTCAGCTTGAGGGTTGAACCAGATGGGTGTCACTTTGATGCAGGACCTGTTTCCTGCACTCAGATTATGTACAACACCCTGTTTAGGGTGTTACCCCAGTCTTTTGCTCTCTGCTGCTCAGGGCAGGCTCCCCTTGCCCTCACAATGCTGACCAGGCAGTTATACCATGTATGGAACAAAGGATGGATGGATGTAGCATTTCTTTGAATATATAGTTATTGTTTCATAATGTCTCTGCATTTGGCACCCATATTTCACACAGTTATGATTTACTCTAGGAGCAGTAGAACACATAGTTTATATAGATGTGATGATAATTCTTAGTTTTGGAGTCCTTTGGCTCCCCCTTTCCCTCCAGCTGAATGCCGGTGCTGAGGAGGTGGCTGTTTTTGGAGCAGCATCTGAGCTATTCAGCAAGAAGAATATCAACTGCTCAGTGGAAGAGAGCCTGCAGCGCTTTGAAGAAGTCGTTAGAGCAGCAAAAGCAGCCAACGTGACAGTGCGGGGGTAAGGAAGCAGGGCCCCGGCAGAGTGAGCTGATCCCAGGGCCTGGGGCCCCGGCAGAGTGAGCTGATCCCAGGGCTTGGGGCCCCGGCAGAGTGAGCTGATCCCAGGGCCTTGGGCCCCGGCAGAGCGGGCCGATCCCTCCTGGGGCCCAGAGAGATGAATTGTTCCCTGCTCATGAGGACTGATTTTTCTATTGAATGTTTCTATTGACTGTTTCCTTATGTCACAGCTATGTATCGTGTGTCCTTGGATGCCCATATGAAGGACAGGTGTCCCCAGATAAAGTGGCTCAGGTGAATTCTCAACCTCCTGTGTTTTCCTTCTTAAATATAAGCTTCTCTTGCTTTGTTAGCAGCAACTAAGGCCACGAAATGTAGAGGAAGATGAAGAAAAATCTGACATAGAATGAAAGGAGAAAGTGCGACCCCACTCTGCCAGTGTGTGATTGTGAGTGCCCCCTGCAGGTAGCCAAGCGCCTGTACAGCATGGGCTGCTATGAAGTGTCTCTGGGTGACACCATCGGGGTGGGAACTCCAGGCAGCATGCGGGCGATGCTGAGTGCTGTGAGCTCCCAGGTGCCGCTGGGCGCGCTGGCTGTGCACTGCCACGACACGTACGGCCAGGCGCTGGCTAACATCCTCACTGCCCTGCAGGTCAGGCCCCTCCTGCGTGTGTGTGTGTCAGGTCTCCTGTTCGTTTGTCACTTGAAATGACTGCTTAGAAAAAAGACCTGATAAGTTAGAAAGATAAAATGGCAAATAAAATAATGAAATGTATGAAAGCAATAATATTAAATATGTATTTGTAGTCAAAAAGATGTAAAATGTGAGATGCCCAGAATAGTGCAAGTGATATGTTGGCTATTAAACGGCATCCTCACCGAAAATGCAGACAGCCTGAGGGATAAACCTGCACCTGCACCTGCATGACTGGGTGTCTCTCTGGCCTTCTGCTCCAGATGGGGGTGAGCGTAGTGGACTCCTCTGTGGCAGGACTGGGAGGATGTCCGTATGCCCAGGGGGCTTCTGGGAACGTGGCCACTGAAGATGTGGTGTACATGCTGCACGGCCTGGGAATCCACACTGTAAGCTTGCTGGCACACGCACATACACGCACGCACACACATAGTACATGTATTCGTATCTTTGTGGGGACTCTCCATTCATTTCTATGGGCATAACCCTAATCCTGACCCTGACTATGGCCCTGTTCACACCTGGTATTAACATAACATCCAGGATGATCCCATCACAAGTGCATGGGGCTAATGACAGGTGTGAATGCACCCAAGACCCATTGAGGACGCATTGAGATCCGATTACTCAAACCGCATTTGGAGGTGTTCTGGGCCGCATATGGCCACATTCTTATAGCAGTGAGAACGCGAATGTGTCCTGGGCTGCATTGAAGGACCGCCTACTCAGCCGACATTCTGGTGTGAGCAGCAGGGCACGCACACACACTAGGTACATACAGCAAAAACTAATGTTGTCCTGCAATAAATCCCCTTAAGGATGTTAGAGTGATGACAATTCAACTGTATGATTGTTTTAGGGGATGTTTGTGGTGCTGTTAAAGTGTACTGAATTAACCGCTGATGTTTGTTACTCAGCTTAGCCTTACTGTTAGAAAGGTCATGCAGGGTAGCCAACTTATTTGAGCTGCCTGCTATGAGATTTTCAGGCCTGCACACATTTACATGTATGTAATTACCTTGGACATAGTCTGTAGGGTTTGCAAAGTACCCAAACGCTTTTTTGATGTAGGTCATTTTAGGTTTGTAATGGAATAATATAGATTTACCGTAAGCTAGGCTCTCTTCCACTGAGCAATTTCTGACAGCGCTCAATGCAGTTGAGCTCTGCATTTGGAAGTGATTTATGTGCTTATTTAAATAAGTGTGGGAGAGTGAGATGCGAATCCTAATGGTCGGTCGTATGAGAGGCATGTTAATGCCAGATGTGAAAGAACATACTTAGGGCTATTCACTTTACACCTTTAATCCTTACCCAGCCCTAACTTTATCCATAAAACCAAACTGAACACAAGTCTTTTGGTGTTTTTAGTTTTTTTTATTAGTCACATTTTTATAATGTTGTGGTTTACATTGTGGGGCCTTGAAAATTGTCCTCACTAGTTAAAAACAGTGGTCCCCAAAATGTGGTAAATACAAACCCATACCTGTCTCCTCCATTTCCCTCTTCACATTTGGTCTCTCTTCACCATTCCCTCCCTCCTCGCATTCTCTCTCCTTTCTCCATTCCCTCCCTCCTCGCATTCTCTCTCCTTTCTCCATTATCGTCCTCCTCGCATTCTCTCTCCTTTCTCCATTATCGCCCTAAGGAGCACAAGTGCTGATGGTCCGTACATCAGAGGTGATCTCCCCGAACCTCACTTGCTGTTCCCTGCCAGTCAGGAAGCTGGTGATCCACTGACAGATAACAGGAGATACATTCAGCTCGGAGAGTTTGGAGGAGAGGATTTCTGGGACAATGGTGTTGAACACCGAACTAAAGTCCACAAACAGAATCCTTGCATAAGTCCCTGGGTGGTCGAGGTGTTGCAGGATGTAACACAGTCCCATGTTCACTGCATCATCCGCTGACCTGTTTGTCCGGTAAGCAAACTGCAGGGCGTCCAGCAGGTGTCTTGTGACGTTCTTCAGATGGTCCAACACCAGACGTTCAAAGGACTTCATGACCACCGATGTCAGGGTGACAGGTCTGTAGTCATTCAGTCCAGTGATGGAGGGTTTCCTGGGGATCAGGATTATGGTGATGCGTTTGAAGCAGGTGGGAACTTCACGCAGCTCCAGGGATCTGCTGAAGATCTCAGTGAAGACTGAAGCCAGCTGGTCAGCACAGGTTCTGAGGCATGAGGGGGAGATGCCGTCTGGGTCTGGTGCCTTCCTGATTTTCAGTCTCTGGAAGAGCCGGCTCACAGCTCACATCCTGCACTGATGAGCAGTGCATCTGGGTGTTTCTGTTCCAGACTGGTTATCTGGTCGGCCAGAATTCCCAGCTCGTCGTTCACGTTAGCCTGCAGTGCAATGTGAAGTCTAGCCAGGATGAAGGGTGAAAACTCCCATGGTGAATAAAAGGGTTTGCAGTTTATGAACAGGGTTTCTAAGTTCAGGCTGCAGTATTTATTTAACACTGGGAATGGATTCACTGAGCCAAGTGTCAGTGAAGCACTGGGCAGCAGGACGTGCGAAGTCCATGTTCGTCCTGTTGAAGAACAGCAGCTTGTCCAGTTTGTTGATCAAGGGAATGGCGCCATCCATTCCCTCCATTCTCACACTCTCCTTTCTCCATACAATCCCTCCTCTCACACTCTCTCCTTTCTCCATACCCTCCCTCCTCTCACACTCTCCTTTCTCGATACCCTCCCTCCCTCCTCACATTCGTTCTCCTTTCCCCATTCACTCCCTCCTCACATTCTCTCCCCTTTCTCCATTCTCTCCCTCTCAGGGTGTTGACCTAACCAGGGTTATGGACGCTGGAGCCTTCATCTGCCGCTCACTCAACCGCAGGACCAACTCGAAGGTGGCCCAGGCCTCCTGCAAACTCTAAGCCTCCCCATCCATGGGCACCACCACCTTCTGCCCTGTAGTTATTCTGTATAGAACACATCAGATTTATACGAGAACCAGTCAAGGCCTGCGTAAATATGGAGATATTCAGGAAAATACTATGATTTTTGTAGTGGTCATCTCAAACTTTCCAACATCGATTTTCAGATGTAAATATATTTTGTAGGTCTGTCATTTTATTGGGAAATATTAGATGTCATGCATTGATCTTTGTGCTTATGAGTGGATGTTGCCATTACAGACAGAAATCGTTTGGTGAATTTGGTATCTGAGTAATGAGTAATAAGCCCATATCAAACCTTCCTTTTTTAGGGAAGATTGTTGAAAAGGTTGTTTTTCAGCAACTTAGTTCTTTCATGGTGCAGAAAAATATCTGCAATGCTTTTCACTGGATTTCAATAACACAGGATTGAGACTGCACTTGATAAAGTTTTAAATTACATCTATCTGAGCAGTGATGAATCAAACATCTCCGTTTTGGTATCACTGGATCTCAGTGCTACATTCAACATGGTTGACCATAAGCTAGACAAGTGAGAAAAGTGGGTGGGACTTTTTGGCAGAGTGTTATACTGGTTTGAATCATGTTTACGAGATAGGGACTCCTGTGAGTCTAGGTAATTATGAATTCCTCAAGGGTCCATCCTTGGGCCTCTTCTATTCAACATGTACATGCTCCCCCTTGCTCAGATTATGGAACACTGTAACATCTCCATAACCATAAATGCAGATGACGCACAGCTCTACATTACAGTGTCACCACATGACCATAGTCTCTTAGAGTCACTAAATACTGAAGGAGTCAATGAGTGGATGTGCCAGGATTTTCCACCATACAGAAAAATCTTTGTATTTGGGTCCAAACAGGAAGGATTAGTACTTAGTGCTCAGCTTGAATCCATGACAATAAAACCTACAAATCAAGCCAGAAATCATGGTGTAGTTCTGGACTGAGACCTGAATCCCAACAGCCACATAAAGACAATTACAAAATCAGCATATTACCAGCTTAAACATGTAGCAAGAATTAAAGATAAACACAGAATCAAGATGTTCTGTATTTGTTTAGACAGAAATTCTTCAGCAGGCTAGACTATTGTAACAGTATGTTCACAATTATTTGCCAAATATCAGTCACACAGCCGCAGGTCCACTCTGCTGCCGCCAGAGTTCTCACTAACACCAAGAAAGTAGAGCATATTACACCAGTCCTTAAACCACTGCACTGGCTTCCTGTGCATTAGGGATTGAATTTAAAATATCATTACTAGTGTACAAAGCACTACATGGTCTCAAGCTTAAATACATTTCTGATTTACTTGAACATTATGAAGCATCCAGACCCCTGAGGTAAGTGTAAGTGGACTTTATTGTCATTCACACCATGCAACAGTACAACAATCTAGGAAAGGTTATCTAGGAAAGGTTTACTTAGTGTTCCCACAATCAAGACCGACCAAGGTAAAGCGTTCTGTTTTTATGCTCTCTGTCTGTGGAACAAGCTTTCTAAAGACCGGAGCTCTGCTAAAACTTACTGTTCTTTCTGGTTAGCTACGTTTGTCTGGGCTCTTAGGTTTTTTTGTTTTATCTTAAGTGAGATTTTAATGTCTTCTATTTTAATTTATACCTATGCCTCTGTGAAGCACTTTGAATTGCTTTGCATCTGAATTGTGAGTTAGGGTTGCCACCCGTGCTTTAAAATACGGAATCGTCCCGTATTTGAGAATGAAATTGCGCGTCCCGTTTTGAATCAATACGGGACGGGTTTTGTCCCGTATTTTTTTATCATTTTTTTTTTAAAGCAGCGTCTCATGCAAATCATCCCACACGCATTTTATGAAGATGCCTCCTTTCCTACTTTTGATTGGGTAATACTTGATGTCATCGTTAGTTTGATTGGTCTTTTTAACTGTCCAGTGAGGAGGGCGGGTCTTTTAAGTAGAGTCTGCAAAGTGTTGGCAGAGAGTAATATTTAAAAAATGGCAGATGCTTCTCCAGGTAACCTCCCGCGTCTTAAAGTTTCAGAGCTTAAACGCAAGCGGCTGCAAAAATATCGCAGAGAGTGGGAGGAAACAAATACTTGGCTGCAGAGTGTTAGCGGAAATTGTTATCAAGCCAATTGTACAATTTGTCGGAGAGCGTTCTCTGTGGCTCATGGTGGTCTGTCAGACGTGCGACAACATGCCTCCGGAGAGCAGCATTCCCGCAATGACAGAGCTCACAAAAATCAAAGCACAGTCAGACAGTTCTTCGTACCCCAAGTCTCTCCCGAAGCAGACATGGTAATGACAGTATAATTATTATCAACAATATTAATCAATTAATTAATTAATTGCTAAATAATGTTAAAAATGTGACCCAGTCTGTGAAAACCTAGCTGGAGTCATTTTTTTTGGTAATTTACTGTTTTCTACATGAAATAAAGAACAGTCTGTGAAAATAATAAAAATATATGTATTTAATATTAACTGAGTAAAACCATGTCAACAACTGAAATCACAGTGAAATGAATGGCTAAAATCAAACTTTATCTCAGAATTAGATTTGGCCTGGTTTTCACACACTGGGTCACAAATTGTAATTTGTAAAAATTCTGTAAATACAATGTAAGTGGATCACATTCCAATGTAATATTATGATTTGTTTGTTAAGTTGCGATTTACCACCACTGGCATATGTCATTGGGCCTGTGATCACTGTGGTCTTGGCCCCCAAGGGATGTGGCCCCCGCTGCAGTATGCGTCCCTTATTTTTTTGTATTAAAAGTGGTAACCCTAATTGTGCTATATTAATTAACTTGCCTTGATTCCTGTTCTCTTGGAGAATAACACATTGATAGCGATGCACCATCTTTTAAAGCATGACATTTAACTAAAATGATATTGAAGATCGAATAAACCTTTAATGTCATAAAGTGGCAGGTTCACTGAATTTATTGACCATGTGCAGACTGACTAAGAATCATACTAGTACTGACTAGGACAACCACAACCAGGAGAATTATGCAATACTTAATATGTCATCTAATATGGCCGTTGATCTACTACTCATTTGTGGCTCATTAAATCGGTCGCACACACTATACCGTCCAACTTATCTGTGGACGTGTTACTACGGAGTTTTATACGTGCAGCACCGCGTGTAATGTGTTATCAAGTGATATTGCACAATGGCTACCGATTAACCGGGCTAGAATTGGATTTCATGATTAGTCGGATTATTTGTCGGATTTAAGGTAGTTCGGGCAAATTGTAAGTGAACGAAGATAAAGGCCATTTAAACTGAGGTACCTTAAATCCGACAAGTTGTCCAGCTAAGCAAAAAATCTTGCTTTTTCATATGGGTCCATGGTATTGCTACTTCTGTGGCAAATGGAACGCATCGGACTCAGTTTTCCTGAGTTTTTAGCGGATGTGACGGGAAATTCAGCGCTCTCCGTTTCCTGCGGTCACTCATTCTGTCGCGCGCGTCTCCTTAATCATTCCTTTTTCTCCCTCTGAGCGACTCCGGCTCACAGGCAGTTTTGTTCGCGAGCGACACATCACTAATCTCCATGTCGAGAATCAGATAGAAGGAATGGAGAGCAGCACTTCCGACGTGGATAGTATAGAAGTTGGCAATACCTCATTTGAATCATCAGAAGATGACTATTCAGAAGACGAGACGTTTGTGTCTAGAAATGGTGAGATAAAATGGTCAGCCAAAGCACCGGACCAACAAAGAGGCAGACTATCAGCGAAGTACGTGCTGAAGAAAACTCCAGGACCAACGAAACTGTGTGTCTCGCAAGCAAGCGACGTGTTGTCTGCGTTCAAAGCATTCCTCCCGAAATCAATAGAGGGGACGATCGTCACAATGACTAACATGGAGGGGCGAAAACGATTCCCCAGCGACTGGACTGAATTCACCCCAAAAGAATTCGATGCGTATATCGGTATTTTGATTCTGGCTGGGGTTTTTAGATCCAAAGGCGAGACTTTTGCAAGTCTATGGGATCTAAAGACGGGTAGAGCGATATTCCAGGCAACCATGCCTCGTGCACGGTTCAATCAGTTATCTTCGGCAATTCGTTTTCATGACAAAGGATCAAGATCAGCGGGGACATCCACGGACAAGCTGGCTGCAATGCGAGAAGTCTGGGACACGTGGTCGGCAAACCTGCCCCTGATGTACAATCTCGGCCACGATGTCACCATAGATGAGCTACTGGTACCATTTCTAGGTAACTAAAATACGTTATTGCTGCTTTGCATTGATATACATTCTTACAATTTTATAATTCAAATATAGATCTCATGTTCATTACCAATGAATCATAGTGGATCATTTCAAGCAGTTACTTTGTTCATGATTTGTACCTGAGTAGTTGCTATGTTACTTAGGAATTATATTGTAAGGTGTTACTAGAAATTTGTATAATTTGTATCTGATTGCTTTATTTGACAACAAATTAGTACTCTCTCTATGTGTTCTTGCAGGACACTGCTCGTTCAAGCAAAACCTGTCGAGGAGGCGTGGACTGAAACTATGGGTGCTTTGCGACGCGAAGACTAATTACTGCTGGAAAGTCGATGTGTATACGGGGAAGTCTCAGAGGGAGGCAAGGGAAAACAATTTCACCAAACAAGTGGTGCTGGACCTATCTGAGGGGCTCAGAGGGCAAACCATTACTGCTAATAACTTTTTTACCTCCTTTGATTTAGTGCAGAAGCTCCTCAAACGTCACGTCACGATGATAGGGGCTGTTCACAAAGATCGTCCAGAGCTGCCGTCTGCCCTGTTAACAACTAAGGGCAGGCGGCTGTACTCTTCCAAATTTGTATTTGCACAAAACACAACACTTGTGTCCTGCATAACCAAAAGGAAAAAAAATGTACTGCTAATGAGCACATTCCACAACAGTGCAGATGTTGTCGATGGGCTGAAACCACAAATTATGATTGATTATAACAAAACTAAAGGGGCGGTTGATACAATGGACCAGGCCATTTCAAACTACAGCTACAAAAGGAAGACATGTCGCTGGCCCTTTGCCCTGCTTTATAGCATTCTGGACATTTCGGCGTACAATGCATACGTTGTGTTGAAAGAGATCAATCCAAGATGGAAGGCAGAGGGACCGCTAAGAAACAGACTATTCCTGCAAGAGCTGGGCGAAGCCCTAATCATCCCCGCCATTCAGGAGCGAGTCCATTTTCCCCAAGGCTCCAATGCTGCTGCAATTGTGAGATTGTTTAAGGAAGTCCAGCCCACCGAAGCCCAACAGAGTGTAGCCCCGCCTCTCCTGGGGGGACAGTCAAAAAGGAAGAGGTGCGGCAAGTGTCCGAAAAAAAGTGACCGGAAGTGTAGCATGGTGTGCTGTGAATGTGGGGTGAGAGTATGTAAACGCCATTACGATGCCATATGTAAAGACTGTAGAAAATAAAATTCTAATGTTAGTATTTTATAGAGTTGCAGAAATTTTATCCGTGACGATCTTGTGAATTGTTTTCATGTAATACTTTAGTGTGGCCGTAGATGTGTTGTGTTCCCATTTTATCTCTGTTTTCATGTAATACTTTAGTGTGGCCGTAGATGTGTTCTGTGTTCCCATTTTATCTCTGTTTTCATGTAATGCTTAAAAAGCCTCTAATTCTTTAAAAAAAATGTATTTCAAAAGGTACCATGTCTTTCAAAAACTTTCTTTACATTTGCGCCCTCTGGCCCATTTCCTTTATGACTTATTATAATTTAGTTTTTATGGGCGATGACGACAGTGCCATGCCCCAATTTATGCAAATTGTCATTCGAATAAATGCAGTTTTGCATGAAATTGGACAAAATGTTTTACAGCACTAAAAAACTGCGATCATCATTGTATTGTATAATGCATAATCTTACCCCAAAACACACAAAGTCGCAAAGTCTAAGCAGAAGTTTTTTTTTTTTCCCGTAGAAATTCACTATCCTCTCCTGCCCATACAGGGTCCATTTCTCCCTGATTTCTAAGCAGGTGTCTCAGGTGAATTCTCAACCTCCTGTGTTTTCCTTCTTAAATATAAGCTTCTCTTGCTTTGTTAGCAGCAACTAAGGCCACGAAATGTAGAGGAAGATGAAGAAAAATCTGACATAGAATGAAAGGAGAAAGTGCGACCCCACTCTGCCAGTGTGTGATTGTGAGTGCCCCCTGCAGGTAGCCAAGCGCCTGTACAGCATGGGCTGCTATGAGGTGTCTCTGGGTGACACCATCGGGGTGGGAACTCCAGGCAGCATGCGGGCGATGCTGAGTGCTGTGAGCTCCCAGGTGCCGCTGGGCGCGCTGGCTGTGCAATGCCATGACACGTACGGCCAGGCGCTGGCTAACATCCTCACTGCCCTGCAGGTCAGGCCCCTCCTGCGTGTGTGTGTGTCAGGTCTCCTGTTTGTTTGTCACATGCACAGATGTGCACGAGTGTAGAGAAATACTTGAAATGACTGCTTAGAAAAAAGACCTGATAAGTTAGAAAGATAAAATGGCAAATAAAATAATGAAATGTATGAAAGCAATAATATTAAATATGTATTTGTAGTCAAAAAGATGTAAAATGAGGGATGCCCAGAATAGTGCAAGTGATATGTTTGCTATTAAACGGCATCCTCACCGAAAATGCAGACAGCCTGAGGGATAAACCTGCACCTGCACCTGCATGACTGTGTGTCTCTCTGGCCTTCTGCTCCAGATGGGGGTGAGCGTAGTGGACTCCTCTGTGTCAGGACTGGGAGGATGTCCGTATGCCCAGGGGGCTTCTGGGAACGTGGCCACTGAAGATGTGGTGAACATGCTGCATGGCCTGGGAATCCACACTGTAAGCTTGCTGGCACACACACATACACGCACACACACACAGTCCATGTATTTGTATCTTTGTGGGGACTCTCCATTCATTTCTATGGGCATAACCCTAACCCTGACTATGGCCTTACTTTAATGTATACCTATGCTTCTGTGAAGCACTTAGAATTGCTTTGCATCTGAATTGTGCTATATTAATAAACTTGCCTTGATTCCTGTTCTCTTGGAGAATAACACATTGATAGCGATGCACCATCTTTTAAAGCATGACATTTAATTAAAATGATATTGAAGATCGAATAAACCTTTAATGTCATAAAGTGGCAGGTTCACTGAATTTATTGACCATGTGCAGACTGACTAAGAATCATACTAGTACTGACTAGGACAACCACAACCAGGAGAATTATGCAATACTTAATATGTCATCTAATATGGCCGTTGATCTACTACTCATTTGTGGCTCATTAAATCGGTCGCACACACTATACCGTCCAACTTATCTGTGGACGTGTTACTACGGAGTTTTATACGTGCAGCACCGCGTGTAATGTGTTATCAAGTGATATTGCACAATGGCTACCGATTAACCGGGCTAGAATTGGATTTCATGATTAGTCGGATTATTTGTCGGATTTAAGGTAGTTCGGGCAAATTGTAAGTGAACGAAGATAAATGCCATTTAAACTGAGGTACTAAACTGAGGTACATCTTTTAAAGTATGACATTTAATTAAAATGATATTGAAGATCGAATAAACCTTTAATGTCATGAATATGAAATGGCAGGTTCACTGAATTTATTGACCTTGTGCAGACTGACTAAGAATCATACTAGTACTGACTAGGACAACCACAACCAGGAGAATTTTGCAATACTTAATATGTCATCTAATATGGCTGTTTATCTACAGTAACATAATGGGAAGTAATTTATAATATCAATTTATTTCTATTTACATGTGACTATTATATTTCTTCGATTTTACGCGGTCATATTTAACAGAATTAGTTTTAAGGGGCATTAAATCTTGTATTTCTTTTGGTTTAAACAAAACTATGACTAAAACTTGCATGATAAATTCCCTTCTTGATCCCAGGAGGAAATTCTTGTGCATGCAGGAACAAACATACAGTATAAAGACAAATTTGTATTTGCACAAAACACAACACTTGTGTCCGTTTTTACTACGTTTACTTTTTTGCATGTCTTTGAATTTAGTCTTGCACTACTGTCTGTTTGTCTGTACTTTATGATTGCCGCGACTGACATTATTTAGTAGCGTCACGACATAAGTTTAATAAGCTGAACACGCATATGTGAAGTTTTTTTTTTACTAAAATATATTACCGGAAGGTATTTCGAGGACTGAGTATGGAGCTACGCGTGACTGCTAACGTAATGCTGACGGCTCCCAATGAGAATGCTGCTTCCGGGTGCACCTCCGCAGGAATGCCCGCCCCTTTCCACGTCCGCGCTCAGTCCCTCAAACCGTCCGGCTGCCCGTCTTAGCGCCTCCTTGGTCCTGCACAGGTGGTCGCGGAGAAGAAGCGCTGCCGATTGCAGCCCATGGACGTAAAGGTAGGATTTGGGCTATGGGCTTTCAGTCCGCGTTAAGTGAGTAAGCGGTGCGGCAGGCGGCCAGCGACAGGACTCTTCTGATCGGCAGTTTTGCTTAAGCTACGTTTTAATACAATTATTGGGTTTTATGGGAACCATCGGAAATTAAATTCTGTATATTTGGCACAGTACATTAACGGCCTTTCTGTAAACGAGAAGCGGCTGTGGGGCGCTCATGCTCGCAGTGCTGTCTGTGAGGCACATTCGACGCATGGAGTGCGGGGAAAGTGCCCATTTATGAATGGTTCAGGGAAGATACGAACTTCAGTTGCTGTATTGGTAGGTCGCACTCATAGGAACCCGGCAGCAAACCAATGTGCCACCGTCCAGGTACTCATCTTCAGACAGTCTGGTGTGGGACTACGGACACTTTTTACTTTTAACACTGATCTGGAGTTGTTTAGGTAATTATGTAGTTCCACAATTTCAGATGAATGGCCCGGTACAGATATGCAACTTAGCAAACTGGTTTTAAACAAGGGATCGTAAAAAGTGACGTCAGAGCTCAGGTTAGGCACGGCAGAGAAGCCTTGCAGGTTTGCCTGATGGGGTGTGTCCTTCAGTTTGCCACATCATAAAGCAATACTTAGACTGCCTACATACGTGATACTGTCATAAGGTGGTAAAAAAGTGACCTAGCTGAAGAAAGACGATCACATTGAAATAGGGTCAAGGGACATCTTACTGCCCTTCTGGATTTGCTGTATTTGCCATACAGCTGGATGACTGGCTTTCTGTATTGGTGGGTTACATTAGAGTGGAAACAGGGCGGGTCTGTATGGGGGGGGGTTAGGCCAGACAGCATGGCTTCTCACACAGGCCTTCTTTGTGTGCACCCCACCAGCTTCTGCCAAAGAGCCGTTCCACCCAGAAATTGTGCCATTCGGGGCCTTGCGGGGAACCTACTGTATGACATTTCCATCCATTCTGTCATGACTGGAATTGTAAGGGAAAACTCCTACTCTGAGCTCTGCCTTTAACACAACCCACAGGAGGAGCACATGGCCCTGAAGGTGCTGGTGACTGGGGGCGGTGGCTACGTGGGCAGCCACTGCGTGCTGGAGCTCATCCAGGCTGGCTTCCGCCCGGTCGTCATTGATAACTTCAGCAATGCGGTCCGAGGTGAGGGAGGCCCAGGCTCCATTCTGTGGCCTTCAGTGAATGAATGAATGGCTTTATTGTCACTGCACAAGGCATAATGAAACTGGAAGACTATCCTTGTCGTGCAAGAAAGAAAGAAAAGAGGATTGATACATCATTTCAAAAGAATAAGATAAATATAAAAGTAAACAGACAGAATATAAGTAAATGGAATATTCAACTGAATATAAAAGAATACAAATAGAAACAATGTAAAAATGAACAGAAGAATTTACAAAAATAGGTGTTTACAGCCAACAAATTGTTATACGCACTCCTCTCCTTGTGATTTTCTTTGTCAATAATTTATTAAAATATTGCACATGCTAATAGGTGGGGTCATTAATATGTAAGGCAGAGTGTTCAAAGTTAGATAATGATTCTAGGAGGAAAACTGTCTTTGAATCTGTCTGTTCTTGATTTGATGGCCCTGTAGCAACCTTTTTTCCATAGTCCTCATTGATGTGGACAGGATCTAGATTTTGAGCTTACGTGATTTCCATTCATTAGCTGAGTCTCTGCTGTGCTACAGAATTTGGAGAGGAGTGGACATTAGGAGTGGGATAGCTGGTCATGTAAGCACGGGAAGGCGTCTGTGAATAGTGAGCCACATGACGGTATCGCTGTGTTCCATCTGCAGGAGAGGGGGACGTACCGGAGAGTCTGCGAAGGATAGAGAACATTCTGAACATCAGCATTGAGTTTCATCAGCTGGACCTTCTGGACCGACCAGGCCTGGAAAGGATTTTTCAGATGGTCAGCATTCTGCCTGTTTGTCTGTCTGTCTGCCTGCCTCTGTCCGTCTGCCTCTCTGTCTGTCGACCTGCCTCTCTGTCTGCCTCTCTCTCTGTCTGTCGACCTGCCTCTCTTCTCTGTCTGTCGACCTGCCTCTCTGTCTGCCTGCCTCTCTCTTTGTCTGTCTGTCTGCCCATCCAGCTCATTGCTTGCCCATCTGTTTTTCTCCCTCAGCATTATGTGTCTGTAGATTATGTAAAAGCATGGAACTGCCGTCAGAAAAATCGCAAAGATGTCAAGTCAACAGATGCTTTGCCCCACCAGTCGTATGTAGTGACACAGCATACAGTGTCAAAAAATAACATTTCCCAGGTCAACTGTGCAGCATGCATATAATGCAAGGAGAGATGGGTGAAGTGCAAAAAAAGAAGATATGACCTTAACACATAATGTAAACACTTTTGGTCATTATTTTACTCCATTATAAAAACATTTATAAAAACCTAGAGAGAGAAGCGAAGACACAGCCATTCTTATAGTTAACTTCAACAGTATTGTCGTGCTACTCGCTTTGATAGAGACAACTTTGAAGCACTTCTTGCAAATGGGCTTGTCCACATATTTTGGTTTTCCCTGTTCATCTGGTGTGAAATATTTCCAGACCGTTCTCTTGCTTTTTACATTCTCTATCAAGCTTGGTGCTGCAGATCTAAAGCTGGAGCGGCTTTCGCCCGCTTCCGTGTTTAAAGTGTGTGACTCATGTAAAACAATGGGTCCTCCAGGTAGCCGTTGTCGGGGGAGGGGCTGCCCGCTGCAATGCCTGTTGAAAATTTTTGTAGCCTGCCGGTGATTTCCGTGAATCGGCAGATGCAAAACTGGCATTTATGTATCGATACCAGTGCTAATTTATATCGAACTAGATACTTAATTTTAGTATCGATTAGTATCTAAGAATCGATTTTTTTGACAACCTTATTAGAAATAGATCTCCGTTTCATTTGCTCGGAGAAAGCTCCAAGAATGACTGTTGGCCTTAGTTACACAGATGCACTATGAACATCTACGTCTGAAGCCTTGCCTTTTTTGCAGCCTTGACATGTATCTGACTCTGCTTATCATTACATGTGTGATGTCTCCTCTGAAATGAGCAGTCATCTCCTCTGGCTCCTTTTCCTTTCTCTCTATATCTCTGTCTGTCTGTCTGTCTCTCTCTCTCTGTGCAGCACAAGTTTTCAGCAGTGATGCACTTTGCGGGGCTGAAGGCCGTGGGCGAGTCCGTTGAGCAGCCTCTGCGATACTATCGGGTCAACCTGACTGGAACCATCAACCTTCTGGAGGTGAATAGACGGAAAACCTTTCTTCCTTATATTAACCCTTTTAACTGTGTAACTGTACACAAGATCTGTGTTTGGTTTTATGCTGTAACACTAAACTATTTTGGGATGAAAAGTAAATGTACTAATTACATTTTTGGCAAAGTGGTGCCCTGTTATTTACCATTCCAGGGTTCTGCATGTGATTATTCTTTGACTCTCCAGCTTTACTTGCCTATCTTTATGTGTCTGTGCGCGCGTTTGTCAGAGTCCGTGACTGTGCGCGCGTTTGTCAGCGTCCGTGTCTGTGCCGCCATTAAGCTGCTGATACATCTCCTAGGTGATGCAGGAGCACGGTGTGCACAGCATCGTCTTTAGCAGCTCAGCGACCGTCTATGGGGAACCCCAGCACCTACCCATCGATGAGGCGCACCCTGTGGGCGGCTGTACCAACCCCTACGGCAAGACCAAGTACTTCATTGAGGAGATGATTCAGGACCAGTGTAGATCCCAAAGGGTACCAGTGTGCCTCTCCAGAGAACATTCTCTGTGTGTCTGTGTGCGTGTGCTGTACCATGAACCATGAAGTAACATTCTTTTGACATCAGTTGTGGGTGTTTATATGTGTGCTTATGTTTGGACAGGACTGGAACGCTGTGTTGCTGCGCTATTTCAATCCAATCGGTGCTCATTCTTCAGGAGAGATTGGCGAAGACCCCCAGGGAATCCCCAATAACTTAATGCCCTACGTTTCCCAGGTAAGCACCCCTGCTGGTCTGTTACAGTAAAACAGATCCTGATCCTAAAGCATCCAAACTGCCACGTTTCCACCAACACGGAGCTGGAGCCAGTGCTGGTGCTGGGCTGGTTCTCACTTGGTGCCTTTTGAGGACTAGCCTGCGTTTCCACCAGTTTCAAAAAAGAACGGAACAGATATGTTATGTGTATTTGAGTGTGTGTGTAAGTGACTTTATTCTCATTCGCTGTTTTACCATTGTCCTTTTAAATATTGCACAACGAAAGTCTCTGCTAAAAACTGAACTTTGCAGTCCATTTTATGATCTGTTCGCCTATCGAGCATCAAAATTTTATATTTCTTCGGCCTGCAACATATTCATACTTCATTATTAAATCTGGCCAGCAGATCGATCTTTAGTTTTCCACAGAAAAAAACAATGTAACGTTATTCTGCTAATAAGCTAGCAAGATGTTTAACTGCTGGCACTGGCGATATTAAATTAAACTATATGTCAGTTATGGAGTACATTTTCCGGGTAAGTGGAAGGTTTAGACGCGGTAGTCTGTCAGAGATTGCTAATAACTCCACTTCTTGGTATGTATATCTGTTCTCAGGTAGCTATTGGCAGAAGAGAACATCTCCGTGTGTTTGGGAATGACTACGACACACCTGATGGGACAGGTCAGGCTACAGTGTTTGTCTGTGTGCCGTGATGTGCAGGCCAAAGGTCAGATCGTCCCTCAATGCAGTGATGCAGAGACGGGGCTGACCAGCATGCCCCCCCGTGTGTTGCCCCCCCTGTGCCCCACAGGAGTCAGAGACTACATCCACGTGGTGGACCTCGCTAAGGGACACATCGCTGCCTTCAGGAAGCTGCAGGGAAATTGTGGCTGCAAGGTACAGCTTTCTGATTTTGTCGCCCTTTTCTGGTTCCTCTTCCTCCAGCTTCTTCTCTGTCCTGCAGATACATGAATAAACAAGCGCAAAGATCAATAGCTGAATTGTTTTTTAGTGTGCTTTAAACTGTTGCTTTTATGTGACACACGGTTATGGTTATAATCTGTAGCTTGTGTGCCAGCATTTCCCTGTTGGGAGAGGAAATGCTTACAGACTGTAGGCATCCATGCTCGGGCCTCGGGAAGATCCCTGTCAGGGTGTGGATCAGCCCCACAGCCTGCTCCTCAGCTTCCTGCTCCCTCTGCAGGTTTACAACCTTGGCACAGGCACTGGCTACTCGGTCCTTCAGATGGTGAAAGCCATGGAAAAGGCTTCTGGACGAGAGGTCAGTAGCCCCCTGGCTGTGCAGGGGCAGGGTCTCCTGTTGGATCTGGTGTGAAAATTCACGATCTAAAATATGGAGAAGCTTCCAACCTGCATGGTCTGTACTGACGGTGAGGGAAACTCCGGCCTCTGTGGTCCCTGCAGATCCGCTACCAGATCGCACCACGGCGCAGCGGGGACATCGCTTCCTGCTACGCTGACCCCCACCTTGCTGAAACCGAGCTGGGTTGGAGGGCAGAGTTTGGCCTGGACAGGATGTGTGAGTTTGTCTGTCTGTGTCTGCCTGTGTGTGTGTCTGTGTGCCTGTGTGTGTGTCTGTGTCTGCCTGTTTGTTTGCCTGTGAGTTTTTTGTCTGCCTGTGTGTGTATCTGTGCTTGTCTGCCTGTGAGTCTGTCTGTGAGTATTTGTATATAAGACCATACTCAGCCTAACCTATTCTGAAACGTACATTTTACCCATTTATTTTTTTAGTAACAGGACTTGTTTATTGAAAGACATGTTTATCATCACAACACTTTCAGTTGATGTAATCTCTTGTTTGAAAGCAGCCCATTTTAAGTGAACTACAGAGTGTGCATGCAGGGCAGGACCTGTGACATCACGCCCACTTCTTCTGTCCCAAGGTGAGGACCTGTGGCGCTGGCAGTCAAAGAATCCCAGCGGCTTCAGCCATACTACAGGCCCATGAAGCTGGCCCCAGCTTTGACCTCAGGGATCACCTGACCAGACCAAATCTAAGGAGCAGTCTGTGTGAGCATGGGCTCTGTCCTCGGGCCAGGATGTCCACAGCGATCTGTTTTCTGTTTTTTTTTTAACTGGAGATATTTTTAATTAATAATAGAAATTTGTATGCCATGTTTATGGCACTGAAGGCCTCTGTCTTTACTGAAGGCACTCTTAGGGTTAGATGATCGAAGAAATAAACTGCATCCTTTCTCTCACTGCCTCTATCTTTCCTGGTTCTTTACTAACCAGTCTTCTCTTCACACTCAGATGATGACAATAATCAAAAAATAAATTTCTTAAACTTCCTTTTGAATCTGTGGTTCCATAGATCCAACTCTAAGGTTAGGCTCCCATCCCTTCCTTGAACGTCTGAAGTAGTGAAGTGGCTGATGGAGCTTCCCGATGAATGTGAAACTTCCACAGCAGCTGGATCTCAGATGTAGATGGGGGCCTTTCTGCTTCCTGGAGTCAATGACCAGCTGCTTGTGTTCAAGCACCAGCGTGTCAGGAACCTAACTGCCAGCTCACTGTCATTTTTGATCATTGCGATTGGTGGTGCTGTAAGCAAACTTTATGATAGAATTGTAGCTATAGCTGAACTTTGACTGCAGCAGTAGAATCAACCCAATGCCCTGTGGGGTGTCAGTACTGATGATAACTCACTGGGGTCTGCTAATGAGGCGCTGAGGTCCAGGTCTAGGAGTGATCAGTCTGCATGGTGTCACACAGATGAACTACTAACAATTATAAAATCTACCAAATCTGATGTTCATCTAGTCACTACAGCCATACAATTACGTCACATAAAAGAGTCAATTGTGGTATTCGGCTGAAACCTACGAATAGCAGCCTTATGTAGCAGTTTTTATTGTCCAAGCAATACAAGATGATGTGGTACGTGTGCAATATGGTGTCCCCTGTGGACCTGTTACCATTGTGTGGAAGCTCTAGTTGGCCCTGACAGTCAGCTGTTGATGTACTTTGGCACCAGAATACCTGCGTCTTACCGTAGGCTGATCAGGCCTGCCACACGCTGACCCTGGGCTCACCCTGCTTTACCGTAGGCTGATCAGGCCTGCCACACGCTGACCCTGGGCTCACCCACAAGCGTGGTACCGTGATAGGATGCCACCTGTGCAATAGGTCCATTCATGAAATATCCTCACTACTAAATATTCCACGGTCAACTGTTAGTGGTATTTTAACAAAATGTAAGCAATTGGGAACAACAGCAACAGTCAATAGCTACAGACCTCCAAACTTCGTGTGGCCTTCAAATTAGCTCAAGAACTGTGCATAGAGAACTTCATGGAATGGGTTTCCATGGCCGAGCAGCTGCATCCAAGCCTTACATCACCAAGTGCAATGCAAAGCGTCGGATGCAGTGGTGTAAAGCACACTGCCACTGGACTGTAGAGTTCTCTGGAGTGACGAATCACGCTCCTCTGTCTGGCGATATGATGGAGTCTGGGTCTGGCGGTTGCCAGGAGGACGGTACTTGTCTGACTGCATTGTGCCACGTGTATAGTGTGGTAGAGGAGGGATTATGGTGTGGGGCTGTTTTTCAGGGGTTGTGCTTGGCCCCTTGGTTCCAGTGAAAGGAACTTAATGGGCGAATGGCCTCCTGTCATTTCTACATTTCTTATGCTTCTTATGTGATGCTACAGCATCCAAAGCCATTTTGGACAATTTCATGCTCCCAATTTTGTGGGAACAGTTTGGGGACGGCCCCTTCCTGTTCTAACACGACTGCGCACCAATGCACAAAGCAAGGTCCAAAAGGACATGGATGAGCGAGTCTGGTGTGGAGGAACTTGACTGGCCTGCACAGAGCCCCAACCTCAACCCGATAGACCACCTTTGGGATGAATTAGAGCGGAGTGAGACCATCAGTGCCTGACCTCACAAACGCTCTCCTAGAAGAACGGTCAAACATTCCCATAAACACACTTCTAAACCTTGTGGACAGCCTTCCCAGAAGAGCTGAAGCTGTTATAGCTGCTAACGGTGGGCCAACTCCATATTAAAGCCTATGTATTAAGAATGGGATGTCATTAAAGTTCATGTGTGTGTAAAGGCAGGTGTCCCAATACTTTTGTGAATATAGTGTACGCTCACCGTAATTTGTATTCCAGATGTGTTCGGAGTCAGACACATCTGACAATTCCACTCGGTTCATGACATAGTTGTAAAGCAGGTTAACACAGCATAGGATTCAGAACTTTCAGCCACATCAAACTTCTCAGAAAATGTTGCCTTCTACCTTAAGTACTCACAAAGGAAAGTCTGAAATGCAGCCATTCCTGACAATGAGGGACAAGGATTCATTTCAGCCACCAGAGGGCATTGGTGCAATTTCACAGTGAAATGGTTGCTGTTTTGAAGTCACCATACACACAAAATCAAAACAAGTTGTATGTGTTCTTGAGTCAAAAATTATTGCCAGCTTCTAAACCAAACAAAACTCAGAAAGCATCCTGGATCAGTCTAGTGGCTCATTGCAGTTGAGATATGGGCCTCAGAAGCGGGTCTGTCCCTCTATGATGAAGCGCTCGACGTCATCAGCACTCTCGGTGGCAGAGTCCTGGCGCAGGGAGGGGGTCTGCTGAGTTGGAGATGGCTTCCCGTGGGCTTCAGGGCGCTGCTGGCCATTGAGAGATTGCTCCCGTCTCACAGACAGGGACTGCGCCTGGGCCCCCCCCATGCCTCCAGCTGGCTTCTTTGGTAAGGGTGGAGGAACGTCCTTGGGGGCACAGGGAGGCGGTACCATCGCAGAAGGAGCATGGGGGACAGAGATGGACAGGGGAGGTTGGGTGGGACAGTGAAACCAGGACACAAGTCAGAGACAAAAATGGAAACCGGAACAGACCTGGGGTCTCATTTATTACCGTTGCGTACGCACAAAACTGGACCTAAAAGATGCATACGCCTCTTTCTACGCAAACGTTGCGATCTATAGAAACAAACTTGACGGCGTACATATGCGCACATTTTGCCAACTCCGACCCATGTGTGCAAACATTTTGGAGAAAAAAATACGACCGCGGGTGAAGAGCAATAACGTGAGTGGCAGCAGTACATACATAATAATTCCTTGTGCTAGTGAGTCATACACCATACGTTTAATTTCATTTAATCAGTCATATATTTATAATACTGAATAAATATAAAAGTAAAATATATAATCCGACTCAAATCATAACTTAATCTACACTTTTAATCTATGCGCCACAGCTGATGAAATGTAAATGGATAAGTGGTGGTCGTGATTATCACAATCATTTGGACATGGTGTGAAACAATCAGTCTCATTGCTGAAAACACATAAATACCGCAAACACATTCGTGCGCAACATAACATAATGGATGCGCTGGCATTGTTAGAAGATTACGCCAATGGCAGAATTAAAAGGGAACGGGTGTTCAGGGACCATGAAGACCATGATGATGACTGGGTCATAAGCCGATTTAGAGCTTTTGGTGCTGTGTGCTGAACTGGGTCCAATGTTACAGATAGCAACCCGACGGAACCGCGCAATCCCGGTAAAAATACAGGTAATGACGACCTTGGGGTTCTAAATTGCAATTGGCTGTTACCAGCGGGAATTAGCCGACAGGTATACGTTATAATTAACAATAAAACTGTGAATTTGTTCTAAAGCTTGTTTAGGAAATACAATAATAATCTATCGATACATCCATCCATCCATTTTCCAAACCTCTTATCCTTGTGTTTAATTGTATTCTAGGTCTGGGATATCACAACCGTCACTAAGCTCAATAATACCTGTCGTTTTGGATGGGATTATTAAAATGACTAGTAGATACATTAAGTTCCCTTACACTGTAGGGGAACAGGCCAACATCAACAGGCAATCTGCAGCAGTGTCCGGTTTCCCATTTGTAATCAGCGCAATTGACTGCACTCACGTTGCAATGATTGTATTTACGTTACAGAATATGCGGCAAATCCACGTTCGTACAATCCCAGCTAATGTGCGATTTATAAAGCGTATATTGCTTGGAGGTGTGCATGCGCACGTTTTTATAAATTTGACTTTTTCTTTGTGCAAGTCATTTTTGTCTTTTGAGCGCACATACACTTTTAGTATGAGTTCTATGCAAAGTTTTATAAATGAGACCCCAGACGAGCAGTGATACAGAAGGAAAAGGTATCATTTGTGCTTTTGCTGGCGTTTCTCATCCCTCACCTGGGCAGAAATCTGCCTCCAGCCCGAGTCCCGGAGCGTCTGCAGGTCCAGGAACGTGAGCCGCACCTCCTCCAGGCCCAGCTGCAGCAGCTCCCACAGCTCAGCCAGGGCCTCAGCACTGACCTGGGGGAGAGGGGGGTACACATCCCTGGATGGCTATCACTGGAAATCTGACCTTGAATTTGGATTCCAGTACCTCCCAGAGCACATTTCGACAAGCTCATTTCTACACTGTATTGCCTATTAATAGTCTAGAAGAGATATTATTACTGTAAAGGGGAGGTACAGTGGTGCAGTGGTTACCACTGTCACCTCACGTCTCTGTGATCTGGGTTTGAGTCTCCTCCATGCCTCCTTGTGTGTGGAGTTGCACGTTCTCCATTTGTCATCGTGGAGTTTCCTAGGGGTACTCCAAATTCCCCCCACGTGCAAAAACATGGCGAGATTAATTGGAGTCGCCAAATTACATGTAGGTGTGAGTGAGTGGTATGTGAGTGTGACTGGTGTGTGAGTGTGCCCTGCGATGGGTTGGAGCCCCACCCTGGGTTGTTATGCGTCATATCTATAGGCTCCAGACCTCCAAACCTTGAGCGGGACAAGTGGTGTCAAGATCAGTGCCTGTCCAACCCTGCCCTTTGCGTTCCCTCCCTGTTTGGCCAGCAGGTGTTGCTGGCCATCCTGTTCTCCACCCTGTCTCTTGTCCTTCAGCCCCAGTGTGCTCTCCCTATTTCCTGGCCCACTGCTTGTAGCACTATAATAAACCTACTTTATGTAAAACTTCATTCATATAAAAAAAAAATGGACTCATTGTAGCAAAAGTACTTTTTAATGTTTTTAATACTGAAGTTTCAAAACTTTTGATTACAAATGAACATTTATTACTTTGGTCAATTTGCTATGATGCTTGAAATTAAGACGAGGTGCATCCCATTCCTGTTTATCGTTTCTAAACATTCCTTTTGATTCTACTCATTAAGGGCTCTAGTCTGACTTTTCCAGTGCTGGCACTGGTGCAACCAGTTTTCTCCATTGGTTGCTGAACCCTATATATTTGGTGTTATGGTTGAATGTGGTATTATTCCTTTTTGGCTGGTGTCTGTCTCGAGAATATTTAATGTTAAAAATATCAGTGAATTATTAATATTGTAATGATTAGAGGAAACAGGGCAGGAGCAGCTGTGAATGGGCTCAAATCCTGCTTCACTACTGAACAGACAGCAGCACTTCACTGGCATGCTAAATATCTGTGGTCATTCAGCAGTGGACAATGAGGTGATAACATTTCATCAGTCAGTGACTCTGATGCCTGAAAACATTTTAGACTCAATAAACTTACCAGGTTTTTCTGACAAAGCTGGAAAAAGTGCTGGACTTTCTGAGACATAAACTGCTGGGCATTTTCCACTGCATTACGTATTCGGGAAAGTGCTGCAGGACACAGGAACATGTCTCAGGTCATCCAGCAGGCAGTCTGGGACTACTGACAGGCAACATAACCCAGACAGCACCCCCTGCAGGTAGAGCTAGGCACTCACCTTCTTCAGGAACCCGGGTGTCCTCAGTCTCCTTCTGCATGCCCTGGCACCAGCCCTGTATCCTCTCCACCTCCACACAGAGCAGACGCATGTAGAAGTCAGCATCATTTTGGCGAGAGCTTCGGCCCAATCCCAAACCAGGATCCAAACCCGTATCAGAACTGCTTCCCAGCCCAGTGTTGGAGGTCTGGTGACAGTTGAGCTCAGACCAATGAAGGCGATCCAGACAAGTCTGCTGGGGGGAGCTACCCCAGCCAGGAGTCACACCTCTTTGGGAGAAGCCACTTTCATCCTGGTCCATCAAGCTGGTGGAACAATGGAGCCACATAGGCCTGAAAGGGTGTCAGAACTTCACATTTGTAATTAATCTGCATCAAGAAACAATGGATGGATGGAGAGAAATGGAAGAGAGCAGGAAGAAGAAGGAGAGGCAGTAGTGGGTCAGAGAGAATGCTGCTATGTACCTCCTGTTCTCCTCGACCTGGATGCCAACGGACTGAAGCTCCCTCCCTACTCGGCTCTCTGAACTGTCCACCTGCCACACATGGAAACCAGCAGCACAGACGTCACCATAAACACAATGCTAACACCAACACCACATCGACATCAACACTGACACAGCAGCACAGACTCACCAGCACACTGATGCATGATCTGCAGTTGCACTTGTGGCCATCCGTGCTACAGGACAGGCTCTTCTCTGGGAGAGAAGCAGGTCTCCTCTGAAGACCGTCACCCAGCAATCTGTCTGCTGCGCCACTGCCCTTGGCTTCCTGAAGACTGCAGCTCTTATTCAAGATCTCAGCAGACCCGACATGCTGCTGGAGGCCTGGGCCCTGGGGGAGGCTGCAGCTTGCCGGCCGCTGTCTGTCTGCTGCTGCTCCTAACTCGGAGTGGTACCTGAGCCAGGTGGGGCACCTTGTGCTGGTCTCCAGGCCATCCAGGGAGGGGGCATTCTGTGTTACCCCACTGGGTCCCACTGACCCCCTGCTTTGTGTGATGGTCGCCTGTGTGGCATCTGTGCTGCTCTGAGCTACTACTCTGATTTGAGGCTTAGACTTTCGGGGTGGAAGAGGAGGAGGAACCTTACCCTGGGCCTGCATAGCTGAAAGAGACAGAAACACAGTGAGAGAAAGCAGGAGAGAAAAGAAAAGAGGGTTGGTGCTTGATTAGATAATCTCACTCAGATCCGAACCTCACCGACTCTGCCCCTAAGTCCACCAGTTCCAGGGTTGTTCTGGGCCACGCCTGCCTGGATAGCACGTATGTAGCTGTGGCTTCGCACCCGGAATGCTCCCGGTAAGTCCAGAGCCTCCAGTGATTGTGAGTCCCCCCAGTCCCTCCACCCAGACTTGTATACCCTCTGGAATCCACTGTCCAGCACACTGTGTCCCTGAAGCACAAAGAGGGTCACATGGTTAGGCTACAAACAGACCCCAAAAACAGTGCACAGGGGTGGGGGGAGTGAACCTCACCTGAGCGCTGCACAGTGCGTGTGAGCAGATACGGTCGTGGACATGTTTCTTTGGCAAGGAATGGCTTTTGGTGCAAAGATCATGGCAGAGTTTACAGCAGTACCTACAGATACAGTCAGTCATTTACTTGGCACATGCTGCTGCCCCAGTCCCATCACACAGAGCACAGCTTCATGACTGATACACACAGTGCATGAATAATTGCCCAAAGAAGCAGAAAATGAAATGTTACCTGGCACCTTGGTGGATGTGTTCCATGCTAAGGTCTCTCTGGACTGCAGCAGCGCCTTTGGCAGGGGCTTTAGCCAGGGAGCCAGGTTCTGCATGGATCTCCTCTGCCATAGCTTTGATATAGCAGCTGTGCTTCATCCTCTGACAGGGGACCTCCCTGGACTCGTAGGGATATGCACCAGGAAGCATCCTGCACTGGACATCCCTGAGAGCCTGCCAGACAGAGTAAGATCTAAAGCCAGAAAGGGAAATGCACTGGTCCAAAGCCAGAAAGGGAAATGCACTGGTCCAAAGCCAGAAAGGGAAATGCACTGGTCCAAACCCAGAAAGGGAAATGCAAAGGTCCAAACCCAGAAAGGGAAATGCACTGCTTCACAGCCCCCAGTTAGAGCCCACACACATTCACACCGTGCCCTGTTACAGCACACACACACAGTGCATAGTTACAGCCCGCACACACACACACAGTGCCCTGTTACAGCGCAAACATACGCAGTTCCCAGTTACAGCACGCACACACACACACAGCCCCCGGTTAGAGCTCACACACACATACACACACACAGTTCCCAGTTTCAGCGCAAACATACACAGTTCCCGGTTACAGCACACACACGCACACACACACACACACAAACAGTGCCCTGTTACAGCGCACACACATAGACACAGTGCCCTGTTACAGCGCACACACATAGACACAGTGCCCTGTTACAGCACACACACACACACACACACACACACACACACACACACATAGACTAGGGATGGCACGGTTCATGAAAAAAAACCGAACCCGGTTGGGCTTGTCTCGGTTCGGAGCATGCATGCGTCGCACGGTTACATAAGAACATAAGAACATAAGAAATTTACAAACGAGAGGAGGCCATTCGGCCCATCAAGCTCGTTTGGGGAGAACTTAACTAATAGCTCAG